AAAGAGAAGCAGCAACAAGGTTCAGGGTAAGGAAAGGAGATTTCTTTCTTTTTCCTTTCCTAGCGGCACACGGAGTGGCTTTTCCAATTTTTCTTTTCCTCCCCCCTCCCCAACCACCCCCACCTCCCGGCGTGGCCTCGATCACATTGATTTGGGTTTCGAGCCTTTGTTTTATCTTTTTTAAAGGGGAAAAAAAATAGGATTTAAAGAAACAAACCTTTTTTGACTTTTTTCGAAACGGCACCTTTTATTATTGCACGGGAAGTTGTCACGGGAAGTGAAAGTGCCCGGGAGATGCAAGTTGTATATTGTCTGTATATCAGCAGTTATTATAAATAGAAAATAATGTATTTGAGAAATAAAAAAGAAAAACACACATACACACACGAAACACAACACAACGTAAACATTCACGTGAAAACTCTTCTCTTCCTAATGCACATATTTTTATAGAGAACACTGGACCTGATCCAGCTACAGTTAGTCGCATTTAAGTCCCATTGAAGCCTCTTGTGGCTTCCAGTGGAACTCGCAGATCCAACCCTATGAATGTTTACTCCAAAGTTAGACCCCGTGGCCCTGATCCGACTAAAGTCAGCCCCAGTTAACTCCCGCTGAAACCGGCTAACTTGCTCCCCATCGTTTTAAGCGTGACTGATTTTTGTCTACATTAGTACCACTTGCAGTGCAATACTATGCATGCTTACTCATAAGTAAGCCCCACTGAGTTCAGTGGGACTTACTCCCAGGTAAGTGTGTATAGAATCCGCAGCCTTTGTGAGTTTCAATTGGAGTCATTTCCTAGTAAGTGCGTTGAGAACTGCTGCTTCTGTTGCCATAAACTTTAGCTGGATTGGGGGCCTGTTTATCCTCTCACCCTATAGCAGATAATCTTTTCTTTTCTTTTGCATTAACATCAGATTCTCAACTGGGTGGTGTATTCTTAGATTCTCAGTGGAAGCTTCATTACAGTGCTTAGGGTTCTCTCATTTTTGCCCCAAATATACCTCTCCCTTTTTCTCTTCTACGCTTTCCCCAATCAGCCATCTTTTGGGCTTGAGCTCCTAGCGAACATTTTGGTATGTCTCTAACAGTTCCACTTTTTGCTTTTCCATTATTATTTTTTTAAAATTTGGTGTCCTTGCTACAGGAAATAATGAAAACCAAAATAACTACTGAATTGTAGCCAGTGCAATAACAATAAGTTATTCATTCTTCTTGTGGGTACAGAATCTGTCCTTTTTTTTTATTATTTTACATCTATTTCAAGTGATGAGTTTTCTTGGTTTTTTGTTTTTGTTTTTTAATTTTCTTTCTCCTCCCCCCCCCGTCTGTTTTCTTATGGAATTCAGGTTAAATGTTGCAATAATCTGAACTTTAAAAGTGCACAACGAGGGCTGAACGTAATGAAAGTGATTTCCGAAGTTGACGGGAAAAAACAAAAAACAAATAAATAGTAAATTATTTAAGGATTGGGGCTTTTTTTTCCTTCACTGGACTCAGGAGTAAATGAATATCATCCAAAATCAATCTCGGGTGAAGAAAGGAAAAACATGGGGGCAGTTTCCTGGAACCCTCACAAAGGGCTTTTTTTCCTGTTGTGAACTCTGACAAGAAAAATGTTATTCAAATTTTTGGGGAGTATTTTCTAGGGGTCGCCAACCTTCTGGGGCACATCTGGAGTTCTGAAAAAGTGCCACGGTTGCCTGTCACAAAATGGCGGGTGTGGAGGTTCAAGGTGACACAAAATGGCTGCCGTGCAGTGTGGCATTCCGCAAAAATGGTTGACACGTTTAAAGGAGAAGAAAAAGAGGCAGGACCTCACAACTGTCCAGGCATAAGCCTTCATCAATGGGCGAAGGGACACCTACATCAGCCGCCGCCATGCTCTTTGTGCTTCTCTTTTCAGAAGAGAGGAGAGAAATCCAGACATCCCATAAAACTTGCTCAATGTAGGAGAGGCTGAGCCAGCACAAACAGGAACTGAGCAGGGGTACCTCTTTTATGGGCACCATAGGAGGATAGCTGTCAACTTTTCCCTTTTCTTGTGAGGAATCCCATTCGGAATAAGGGAATTTCCCTTAAAAAAAGGGAAACATTGACAGCTATGCACAGGAGGCACTGGTGGGCACCATGTTGGCAACACCCATTTTCCTATGAATGGGAAGGAGCCCAATGTAAGCAGTACAAACTGGCTAGCACCTGTGCCTTCAGCAGCGGTGCCCCTCCTTCTCAATCTGTGGTTTTAAAATATTTGTTGTTTCTAAAGTAATTGTGATCGTTTTTGTGGAACATAACAAACCGCAGATATGACCACACAAAATTGTTTTGGTTACAAGCTAGCACGAAGCAAAGCACCGTACAGACATAATGTGATGCCTGTAATATGATGGGCACTCTGCTGTCATGCATATGGAGACCCAAGGACCCACACCTTGTTTCTCACCCTAATTTCAATGAGTCCCCATGTAGCCCCTCCACATAGGAGCTTGAGAGACTGGAGCGTATAAAAGATGTAGTGCCTTGTTTATGAAAGAGAAGAAGGAAAACCAAAATCTCCCCAAACCTATCCCTTTTCTGACATGCCGCTGACGGCCCTCTATCTCTGTGTAAGGTGACCCAAGAGCGTCCTCTCCCAGACATGATTCATCCAAGTCTCTGTTGGTGGCACTGATTCAGCTTTCCGGTGATATTTGTGAAGGATTAAAGAAAGGGCCGATATGGGCCCAGATCGTATGTAACGCGAAGCCAAGCCAGTGTGGACTAGCAGAAGCACGGTTCTCTGGTGTTACAATGGTTTAAAATTTTCCCTTCCCAAGCTTCCAAAATCCTATAGCATACATGGTGATGTGTGGGGTACTAGCAATTTGGAGGGGTATGTGTGATTAATAAGGAAAATGGTGCCCAGTTGACACGTTAGTGAGGTCCGGTTAAGGCCCGTCACAGATGACTCTGGGATTGCGGCACTCATCTAGCTTTCAGGCCGAGGGAGCCGCCATTTTGTCTGCAGACAGTTTTTCCGGGTCATGTGGCCAGTAGGACTAAGCTGCTTCTGGAGCAACAGAACACTGAAACCAGAGCAGCGCACGGAAACGCCGTTTACCTTCCCGCCAGAGCAGTACCTATTTATCTACTTGCACTTTTTTGGCATGCTTTTGAACTGCTAGGTTGACAGGAGCTGGGACAGAGCAACAGGAGCTCACCCTGTTTCAGGGATTCGAACCGCCATCCTTCTGATTGGCAAGCCCAAGAGGCTCAGTGGTTTAGACCACAGCACCACCCGCGTCCCTGGTAGCTGACACATTAAATAATAATTTTTTTAAAAAACCAGGGGATTCAACTCACAAATCAATCATGTCACGTCTAGTTTGGTCCTCAGATGACATTCCTTATGATTGTGTTGTAAGCAAACACTTTGCATCCTTTGTAGCTCACAATGGCTTTGAGAAGCAAGATGGTTATCAGTAATATATTCAGGGGTTGCAAGAACGTCTGCCCAAGAACGTGCTGACATTTTGAATCTGCTGGATTATGCAGCGTAAAAGGGCAATAAGGATGCTTGCAAGGGGACATTTCAGGGATGCTTGCAAGGGGACATTTCAGGGAAGCAACATTTAGAGGGCCACAGGTTGCCCTCCCCACAACATTTCTAACATCAATGGTGAACAGATAGTGGATTTAACCCGAAGTTTCAGCCAGCCAATCTACAACTATATCCAGCAATGCAATCTTGAATGTACAGAGCCTCTGTGTACAGATGCAGTCTACCTGAGTGCCAGATCATGCCGAGGTGAAGCAAGAGACAGGTCACAAGCTGCCTACCCTACTTGGAAGCTCTTCAGAGGCCCTGGCTGGCCACCGTTGCAAACCAAAAGAGGGACCTCGTGGATTTTGGCTTGATCCAGTAAAGGCAGTTCTCACCTTCTTGTCTCCTACATCAAGTCAACGCAGCTGCTGTCAGCAATGCTTTTCAGCCAGTTCTAACACCTGCAATTTTGATAGGGTGTCGTGGGCAACAGTCAAAAAATGTCTGCCATGGGAAGGGTGGGGAGGAAGGGTGTATCACAAAATAGCTTCTTTGGGGGCATGTTATAATGGCCTGAATGTAGAAGCATTCAAATCAGTGCAAACAGGAACTTGGAAGACCAAACAGTATCTTCCGTTCTACAGATTTCTGAGGGAATATTTACTGGGACATTTTGCTGCCATCTCAGGAGTTACCGTCTCAAGTGTCATAAGTACATCCTCCCAGAAGACGGACGCTGCGTCCTTGCGATGTGACCGTTCCAATCGTCAGTGGATTGAGCTGTCTCTTTGAAATAAATGTGGGGAACAACCTTTGTAGGGCCTATCCTCACTTACCTTTTGCAGGCAGAGTTTGGCACTTGGACGCTCCATGTCTGAGCGTTTGCGCTTGTTTGTTTGCCCTGAACTTTCCCCATGAAAACCCGCTCTTTAAATCTGAATTGCAGCAAACATCAGTTCTGGTTTTCTGCGGGTTGACATTTGTGCTGATGGAGCTTTAAAGAGCGGGTTTTCACTTACCTTAAAATTGTAGATAGGCCCCTAGTTCCATTCCTTGTCTACATCTGTTTCCTGAAAGGCACTGAGGCAATGTTGAAGGTTGCAGACATGTGCGTTGGGTGGGGGTTAAGAAGCTAATCCTTGTCTCATTTGACCAGGATACTGTGACACCCTCCAGGAGCTAAAACCAAGAAGGACAGAGAGATCAAAAGTTTTGCTGCATGGAATGAACTGTAAAGGAGAGGCCTGAGGGCCACATTTGCCTTTGGACAACCCTCTGGGGGCCACATAGGCACCACCAGCCCAAACAGGCCACATCCACACCTTAAAGCCCTACTACATCACTGTAAACAGCCATGGCTTCCCCCATGGGAAGTTTATTAAGTTTATTAATAAAGAGGTGTTCGGAGACCCCTGTTCCCTTCACAGAGCTATGGTTCTAAGAGTGGTTTATCTATCAATCCCCAGGGGAGAACTGCATGGCTTAGTTATATGTTGGAAGTGTGTGAGACTCCTAATTTCAGGGTTGTGGGTTCAAGCCCCACACAGGGCAAAATATTTCTGCATTACAGAGGGGTTGGACTAGATGACCCTTCCAACTCTATGATTGCAGTGGTACCTCGGGTTAAGAACTTCATTCATTCTGGAGGTCTGTTCTTAACCTGAAACTGTTCTTAACCTGAAGCACGACTTTAGCTAATGGGGCCTCCTGCTGCTGCTGTGCCGCCGGCGTGCAATTTCTGTTTTCATCCTGAAGCAAAGTTCTTAACCTGAGGTAATATTTCTGGATTAGCGGAGTCTGTAACCTGAAGCAAGTGTAACCTGAAGCATCTGTAATCCAGGGTACCACTGTATAGGATTGTGGGATTTACATAGGCGTCTGGTTGGACACTGTGGGAAGATGATGCTGGATCAAAATGAGTTTGGGGCCTGCTCCAGCAGAAATCTTCTCCTGTTCAAATGTGCCTGTGTGTTAGAGGCTGGAAGAGCAGGGGGCTAACACTATTATGAACCTGTTCCTGATATTTATTCATAGAATCATAGAAGGGACCCTGAGGATCATCTAGTCCAGTATTATTTATTATAACATACCCCACCTTTCCAAAGGGACGCGGGTGGCACTGTTGTCTAAACCACTGAGCCTAGCGCTTGACAATCGGAAGGTCGGTGGTTCAAATCCCCATGACGGGGTGAGCTCCCGTTACTCGGTCCCTGCTCCTGCCAACCTAGCAGTTCGAAAGCACGTCTGAGTGCAAGTAGATAAATGGGTACCGCTCCAGCGGGAAGGTAAACGGCATTTCCATGCGCTGCTCTGGTTCGCCAGAAGTGGCTTAGTCCTGCTGGCCACATGACTCGGAAGCTGTACGCCGGCTCCCTCGGCCAATAAAGCGAGATGAGCACCGCAACCCCATTCACGACTGGACTTCACTGTCAGGGGTCCCTTTACCTTTACCTTTTTATCCCACCTTTCCATCAAGGAGCTCAAAGCGGCCCCAATTGTTTTCCTCCCTCCCCCATTTTAACCCTCACAACATCCCTGACAGGTAGGTTAGGCTAAGGAAGATTGACTGGCTCAAAGTCGCACAAGTGAGCTTCAGCTTGTCTCTTTCACCTGCTGCAAAACCGTTTCAGAGGAACGACGTTTTCACGAAATGCTCCGAAGGATATTCTCCCCCCCCCCTTTTTTTTAAAGAGCCCTGATGAAGGCCTCTGAGAGAGAGAAAAAGCAGACATCTCTGAGTCATTAAGACACATCCCTGCCTTAAAAGCTTTGCTGGGACAGGTTTAATGGATGAAGCTTTATTTAATTATTCATCCTAAAACCTTTGTGCAAATACTAGGCACGTTTCGAGATTAAAGGCTGCTTTTAATTGAATTACAGCGTTGCCCATGTTTGTGTGGGAGGCTCGTGTTTTCCACTTAACCAAAAGAAAAAGGGGGGGAGGAGAATTTTTAGTCAACACAATCAGAAATTTAGCCTGTGCAAAGTGACTCCAAACTGCTGTGGTCCTGCTTGTAGGCTTACCTGGCTTCTCTTTGGCCACTGTGAGGACAGCATGCTGGACTAGATGGATCATGGGTCTGATCCAGGGTTCTTCTCATGTTCTTACAAGGACTGTTCTTTTATCAAGTTCCAGAACTGTTGTTTTTCTGTCCACCTGCGTCCTCCTCCTAAAAGATGAATTGGATGTCCCTGAAACAGCACCATCCACCTGTCAAAAGCTCCTTGCTTTTGAAGTCAGGATGAGTCATTAATTAACAGTGAGGACAGACAGCGCGTCCGATCTTCAGATCCAACTGTTCCAAAGAGGGGCCAGAGTTCAGACAAATAGGTCTCTCTCTCTTTATTTAACAGAAAGAATTAGGATGAATTGTGCTCACTTCCTCCCCAGAGAAGGCTTTGATTTATTCCTGTATGCAAGGCAGCATTGCACATAAACTAGGGACAGAGCAAAGGACCTAAGGACCTCTTCCAGATGTTTCAGACTCCAGCTCCCATCAGTCCCAGCCAGTGCAACCAATCATGAGGGATGATGGGAGTTGTAGTCCAACAACACCTTAGACTCGTAGAATTGGGCCCCCAACATCAAGGGAGTGGCAAAGCTTATAAACTAGGGCTCTTCGCAGATGATGGTCGTGACATTCGCAATCGGGTCGGGCCTACAGGCGATTTTTGCAAAATCCAAGGGTATGTGTTTCAACACACACACCCCTCAAATCCAAAAAGAATCCAGCAACATCACACAGATTAAAAAAACTTTGCTGTACCAAATACAGATACTTAAGGGTACAAATAACCAGAAATCTCCACAAACTATACCTCCGCAACTATGTAGAGTTAGAAGGGAACCGGGCGATCATCTTGTCCCACCCCCATCATTCTCCCTGGACACTGAGGTCCAGCGCCGAGGGCCTTCTGGTGGTCCCCTCACTGCGAGAAGCCAAGTTACAGGGAACGAGGCAGAGGGCCTTCTTGGTAGTGGCACCCTCCCTGTGAAACACCCTCCCACCGGATGTCAAAGAGGAAAACAACAATCAGACTTTTAGAAAACCTCTGTTTAGGGAAGTTTTTAATGTTTTATCGTGTTTTTGATATTCTGTTGGGAGCTACCCAGATTGGCTTGGGAGGCCCGGCCAGATAAATAATAAATTTAGTATCATTATCGTTATTATTATCCTTATCATTATTATATGCAGCTGTCCCATATGGGGATCAAACCTTGGCATTAGCAGCATCGTGCTCTGAGTGAGCTATCCATGCTGCTGACTAGGGGCAGAGTTTAGGAACATGGGAAGCTGCCTTATACATTCAGTCAGGCCACTAGTCTATTTAGCACAGTGCTGTCTACACTGGCTGGCAGCAGCTCTCTGGGCTGTCCAGCAGCTGAGTCTTACCTGGTGCTAAGTGAGAGTGAACCTGGAACCTTTTGCATCCAGAACAGATGCTCTGCCGCTCACCTACGGTCAGTGTAAAGAGACAGAAGAAAGTTTTCAGCGTTGGCCAAAAGGAATTGCACCATTTTTAGGTCACTGACGTGGAGCGGGAACTGGGGCACGATTGAACCAGCTCCCTGTGGATTCTTTCTTTTGAGCTTTTCCCGTTTTAAGATTTAAAAAAACAAAAAACCTGGTCCCACTCCAGGTTTTCATTACAAGCGTAATGGTATGAAATGAAGCTAATTAGATGTTGCTCACGGGGGACCAAAGCAAAAACCCGCTTGAGCATTGTGAGAAGGAAAAGAGGGAAGTTTTGACAGACTTGCCTGCCTTCAATCCTTGTCTTGATGGCCTCCAAATCTGGCTGGTCTCCAATCAGCCACTGCCAGCATGCACAATGGTCAAGGCTGATGGGAAGAAGAAGAAGAAGAAGAAGAAGAAGAAGAAGAAGAAGGGAGGGGGAGGAGAAGGAGGAGTTTGGATTTGATATAATAATAATAATAATAATTTATTTATTTATACCCCGCCCTCCCCGGCCAGAGCCGGGCTCAGGGCAGCTAACACCAACAAATTCACAGTAAAAACATAATAGGGGGGGAAAGAGAACGGGGGGGAACCAAATACAGGTTAAAATGCAATTTAATATGTAGCCTCATTTTAAAGTAACTGATAAATCAAGACCATAAGAGGAGGGAAACATAAGGGTCAGACCGAGTCCAAACCAAAGGCCAGGCGGAACAGCTCTGTCTTGCATGCCCTGCAGAAAGATGTCAGGTCCCGCAGGGATATCCCACTTTATCACTACCCGAAGGATTCTCAAAGTGGCTAACATTCTCCTTTCCCTTCCCTTTCCCTTCCTCCCCCACAACAAACACTCTGTGAGGTGAGTGGGGCTGAGAGACTTCAGAGAAGTGTGACTGGCCCAAGGTCACCCAGCAGCTGCATGTGGAGGAGCGGGGAAGCGAACCCGGTTCACCAGATTACCAGTCCACAGCTCTTAACCACTACACCACACTGGGAGGGATGAAGGGTCCTCAAGTCTAGTGTAGAAGTGGAGAAAGGGGTGCTCTCATTTTCTGGGTGAAGGAGAGACACTGCTTCCCCGCCCCCCAAAAATGGTGGTGGCAAGCAGAAGAGCTGGTTGTTTGTTTAAAATCGCCGTCAGCTAATTGATCTGAAATTATTTCTATGTCACATCCACACTGTGCTTTAAAGCACTATTATACCATTTTAACAACAGTCATGGCTTCCCCCAAAGCAGTGGTTTTCAAAGGATGTGGCAAACCGCAATGGTGTGGCAGAAGAGAATGACAAGTGTGAAGATTCAACGACAATCTCGTCCTCTGTTGTCCCCTTCTCCTTGTACCCTCAATCTTTCCCAGCATCAGGGTCTTTTCCAGGGAGTCTTCTCTTCTCATGAGGTGGCCAAAGTATTGGAGCCTCAGCTTCAGGATCTGTCCTTCCAGTGAGCACTCAGGGCTGATTTCCTTCAGAATGGATAGGTTTGATCTTCTCGCAGTCCATGGGACTCTCAAGAGTCTCCTCCAGCACCATAATTCAAAAGCATCAATTCTTTGGCAATCAGCCTTCTTTATGGTCCAGCTCTCACTTCCATACATCACTACTGGGAAAACCATAGCTTTAACTATAGTGTACGAACCTTCCAGCAGCTAGCGATAATTAAATGGGGACATCTAGTGGCAAGGGAAGTTATTCAATAAAGCAGCCTGTGACAACCCACACCCTTCAGCTGTTCTAGAAAACAACACCCATCAGCAGCTTGCCAGCATTATTTAGTCCAGTACAGTGGTACCTCGGGTTAAGAACTTAATTCATTCTGGAGGCCCGTTCTTAACCTGAAACCTGAAACTGTTCTTCACCTGAGGTACCACTTTAGCTAATGGGGCCTCCCGCTGCCGCCACGCGATTTCTGTTCTCATCCCATAGCTGTCAACTTACAGATTTGAAACTAAGGGACCAGCAGCCTCGAAAATAAGGGATCAGCAGCCAAAATAAGGGATTTTGTGAGCGCAGGTGTGTTCGACTTCTGAGCCCCTCCGAGCCAAAGGCAGAAAGCCCAGCCAGCAGCCAAATGAAGCCTCAAGCGGTGGTTCCCACAGCGCAGCAACCCGGCAAAGGGGATGCAGCAAGGAAAACCACCATCACCTCTCCCCTGGGAAGCGCTGAGCAAAGGCGAGTCCCTAGGCAATGTGGCTGGGCACAAGGCATGCAAGCTCCACACACACACACCCAGTCATTCTTAGACTCCTTATTGAGTGAGCAACGCAGCCAAGCAACACAGTTGGAGCCTCCCTCCTCCCTGGCCGGCAGGGAGGGAGGGAGAGGAGCTGCTTCCTTTGAAACCCGGGAAATTTATGGGATATCATCAATCTGGGACAGCAGCGGGACACGGCACTGGGATAAGGGAGTTTCCCGCCAAATAAGGGACGGTTGACAGCTATGTCTCATCCTGAAGCAAAGTTCTTAACCTGAGGTACTATTTCTGGGTTAGCGGAGTCTGTAACCTGAAGCGTCTGTAAGCCGAGGTACCACTGTATCCTGTTCTCACCACTGGGAAACCTGCAAGCAGAATCTGAGCACAAGAGCAACTCTCCCGTCCTGCGGTTTCCAGAAACTGGGATTCAGAAGCACTGCTGCCTCCAACTCCAGAGGCAGAGCAGAGCAGAGCTAGTAGATCAGGCTTCCTCAAACTCAGCCCTCCAGATGTTTTGAGACTACAATTCCCATCATCCCTGACCACTGGTCCTGCTAGCCAGGGATCATGGGACTTGTAGGCCAAAAACATCTGGAGGGCCGAGGTTGAAGAAGCCAGTAGTAGACACTGACAGCCTTCTCCTCCAGGAATTAGTCCAATCCTCTTTTAAAGCCATACAAGTTAGTGGCTTCCTGCAGGAGTGAGTTCCACAGTTCAACCATGCACTGTGTGAAAAGCTCCTTCCCTTTGTCCTCAATCTTCCACCAACGCATTAGGAGGGTGCCAGGTTGGTGCATATTCTGACAAACCACTAAAAAAAAGTGTTCTCTATAAAGAAAAAAAACTATTTATTAAGTGCTTGGGATGCTAGAAGAAAAAAGCATGAAGGCAGCAGCAGATTGTTGCAAAAACACCATAGTATTTAAATCATCATCCTGTTATTTCAGTTATTATCATAACATATTATTACTACTTTAAAAAAAACAAAAACCCAGTGATAGAATTGTTAAGCGTGCCAAGTTTAGGACCTGGAAGATCAGGGTTCAAATTCCCACACAGCCATGACGGTCACCGAGTAGCCTTTATCCAATCACCATCTCTCAGCCTAACCTCCTACCTCACAAGGTTGTTGTGAGGATAACATCAGGAGAGAAGCATGCACTCCTCAGGAGAGACATGTTTTGTTGCAGCTGGGGCAGATGAAGGTGTCCGGTTTTGCTGCTGCAGATACACCAGGGCGTTTCTTCTCCCTGTGCTCCTCCCAGCGGTCATTCCTCCTCTGGTCACTGCTGTGGAGTCGACTGTCTGTCTCCGGGAGGAAAGGTGGTGTGTGATATATATACAGTGGTACCTCGGGTTAAGTACTTAATTTGTTCCGGATGTCCGTACTTAACCTGAAACTGTTCTTAACCTGAAGCACCACTTTAGCTAATGGGGCCTCCTGCTGCTGCCACGCCGTTGGAGCACGATTTCTGTTCTCATCCTGAAGCAAAGTTCTTAACCTGAAGCACTATTTCTGGATTAGCGGAGTCTGTAACCTGAAGCGTATGTAACCTGAAGCGTATGTAACCAGAGGTACCACTGTGTGTATATATATATATATATATATATATATATATAAACAAATAAATTTGATCATATGAAAACCCACCGTTCTTCATAACGATTTGTTATAATTATTTATATCCCTAAAACGGCCTCAGCGTGCCTATGGCAGTAAGATTACAATAATAATAATATTTTATTATATATACCCCGCCCATCTGGCTCGGTTGTCCCAGCCGCTCTGGGCGGCTTCCAATGCATATAAAAACGTAATAAAACATCAAACATTAATAGTAACAATCTGATCCAATATTTTAAAAAATCAAAATATAAAACAAACCAATTCCACACCAAAGCCAGGATCACATTTTTACAATTGCTATCACAATAAAAGGGACGCGGGTGGCGCTGTGGGTTAAACCACAGAGCCTAGGACTTGTTGATCAGATGGTCGGCGGTTCGAATCCCCGCGACGGGGTGAGCTCCCGTTGTTCGGTCCCTGTTCCTGCCAACCTAGCAATTCAAAAGCACGTCAAAGTGCAAGTAGATAAATAGGTACCACTCCGGTGGAAAGGTAAACGGTGTTTCCGTGCGCTGCTCTGGTTCACCAGAAGCAGCTTAGTCATGGTGGCCACATGACGCGGAAGCTGTACGCCGGCTCCCTCGGCCAATAAAGCAAGCTGAGCGCCGCAACCCCAGAGTAAAGGGGTCCCTTTACCTTTACTATCACAATAAAAGCACATTATCGTTCTAATTTACTATGTTTATTATTCTATAACTTATTATTATTATTATTATTGCTGTTTTTGTTGCTGCTTTGCAACCGCTGCAATGAATAACACTACGCCAGGCGTGGGCAAACGCTGGCCCTCCAGATGTTTGCGACTACAATTCCCATCATCCCTAGCTAACAGGACCAGTGGTAAGGGATGATGGGAATTGTAGTCCCAAACATCTGGAGGGCCGGAGGTTGCCTATGCCTGCTCCATGCTATGCTAATAGGCGCTATTTCATTCATAGCGCATCAGCATCGCCTTGCGACCGAGAGCGGAGTCCCCCCTCCCAAGCGGCTTCCCATCTAGGGCAGCCTCGGCCCCGCCCCTTCGCGTTTCGAAAAGGCGTCGCGGAACGAAGATTGGCCCACGCGCCGCGCCGTCCTCCGTTGCTAAGGAGGGCCAGAGACGCTGCCTTTAGCAACGGGCCCTCTCCCGGCGCCTGCGAGGCTCCGATGGCGGCCGCCGCTAGCCCCACCGTCTTCCTTCTCATGGTCAATGGGCAGATCGAGAGCGCGCAGGTGAGCCGGGGCCGTGCAGGGGCTGCTTTTGCCTCTCTGGAGAAACGGGGGGCCGGGCTAGAGAGGGAAAACGCGTTCTTTGTCCGCATCACCCCTCCAGGCCGTCGCCGTGGTATCTCCCGCCTGTTCTGTACCCCCAGGCCATGGGCGGAACCAAGTCGGACAGAGGGGGGTGCGAGCTTTCTTTACTCCCGCGCCCCGTTTTCCACTCCCCCTGCTGTTGTGCCTTTCACAGAAAGAGAGAGCCTGGCTGTGTTGTCTCCCCGGGCTTCCATCTTCCTATTGCAAGCAGGCAGAAACCCAACAGGTGCAGCCGCTCATAGAAATCAGGTTGGGGTGGGGTATTGCATTGGGTTTTCACCACCTATGCCTGTAATTAGAAATGCCAGCTTCTCTTGCTTCTGTGCATTAATTAGCTGCGGGGCAGGCACAAATCCCACAGGTGCAGCAATAGGCGGACGTTGTCATCCTTGCATATAGCCTATAGGTATAAATGGTACTTGCATGAAACCCTCTCATGACAAAATATCAGAGCGGTGAACAGCAAGGGAAGCTTGACCGGTTGGATTTGTGCCTTAGAGTGCAGATGTGAAAGGGTGAAGAACCTTGCATGGGAAAGGGGGGGGAGTGATTTTGAGGTGTCAGCAGGTATGTCTGTAGGTTCCCCAGTTCTTTGCCCCCCGGCATCCTTAAGCTGGAGCTGGTTTTCCATTTAAAGGGTGCTGGTAGCAGAGTAAGAAATGAAAATAAGCTGCTGTGTTGTGTTGTAAACAAAAATTGCCCTTTTCCCTTACGTGGTATCCAAGAGCCCATATAGAGTCCTTACATAGGTTCCCTATTGGTAGGAGAAAATAACAGAGGCCAACCAGAGAATATTGAGAAGCAAAGCAGCTAGTAAGCTTGATCTTTATTGATCTGTTGCAACAGGGTGCTCCTCTCACACGCAGGAAAGGAGGAGGACCCAGAAAAATAGTGTGCAAGGCCTTATAAAGATTTTTGATATTGCCACCCTGTAGATCAAGACCACCCCCAGAAACATCATACATACATCACAGAAGGGTTGTAACCTAAGACCACCCCTCAGATACATCATACCTACATCACAGAAAAAGGCGGTCTAAACAGAAATTTAAATGTTGTTTTTCTCTTGTCCTTGTTTATCTCCTGTCTGGCAGGTTACTTGATTGGATTGCCTGGGGAGCCTGGCCATTCTTTTGTAGTGATAAATACTTAGTTCCTGGGCCATGTCACAGGCTCACACCCCATTCAAACACAGACATACCTTTAAGACAGGATTTGTGAAGGAAAAGACAATGGGGAGGCTTTTCCACTTTGACTTTGCAGAGAAAACATTTGCTCAGTTTAGGAATCAAAATGGCTTCAGGTCGGTCTTCCTGTGCTGATATATGTACGTGCAGTTATGAACATTACCATATATCTAAGACCTCAAAATTCCTATCACAGTTGCATTGCCTGGCCTGAGGAAAAGTGAGACAAGCTTCCCAATCGCTGCACTTTGTGGCAAAAGCTTCTGCTGCAGCAGCTCTTCAATGCATGGGAGCCCCAGGCCAAGTGCTGCATTCGGCAAACCCCCACACATCGGGATGAGTATAGGGAGCTGTATGGAAAGATGCAAAGCACTTTTTTTTCCATTTTCAGTTCCCGGAGTTTGACGACCTCTACTGCAAGTACTGCTTCGTGTACGGTTACGACTGGGCCCCTACTTCAGTAAGTCTTTCTCCAGTCATCTTGCTCCTTCCTTAGCCACAAGCCCAGCGGTTTTTCTGGACCACCTGCATCGAATCCATCCATTTTGCTTTGCTGTGCTTTGAAGCCACAGAAAACAAATCAGCATCCGCAACAGGGAAACAGAATATCCGTTATCAGGGTCTACCTTTGATTGCCAAATTCAAGAGGCAGCAGACAGGTGCAGGTCCTTGTAATTTTCCCAGAGGCCTCCGGCTGCTCGACTTGGGAAGAAGGATGATAGACCAAATAGATATACAGTCGTACAGTGGTGCCTCGCAAGACGAATGCCTCGCAAGACGAAAAACGTGCAAGACGAAAGAGTTTTCCGTTTTTTGAGTCATTCCGCAAGATGAATTTCCCTATGGGCTTGCTTCGCAAGACGAAACGTCTTGCGAGTTTGTTTCCTTTTTCTTAAAGCCGCTAAGCCGTTAATAGCCGCTAAGCCGTTAATAGCCGCTAAGCCGCTAATAGCCGTGCTTCGCAAGACGAAAAACCGCAAGACGAAGAGACTCGCGGAACGGATTAATTTCGTCTTGCGAGGCACCACTGTACCTTGTTTTGCGACCGGGATCCGTTCCGGAGCCCCGGATGCTAGACGAAAAGGACGCACGACAAAGAGCCACTCTGCACACACACACACACACACACACACACACACAGAGCAGATTGCGCTTCTGCACATGCGCAAGCGGCAAACCCAGAAGTAATCCGTTGCAGACTTCCAGGTTTGCCGCAGACATTTGACAAAATGGACGCACGACGAGGTGGACTCAAAACAAGGTACCACTGTAATCCAAAAGATGAGCCTTGCTAAACCTGTTGAATACCAGAATCTCTCCTGCCTCCCCCCCCCCAAGCACCCCATTTCCCTAGTTTAGGGATTGGGTAGTACCTCTGGTTTCTGCACTCTGATAATGTTACTTCTTCACCTGGGTGGTGTTGTGGTCATTTCTGTTTTCTGTCAGTCTCATGCTGTTTTTGTGAACCTATTCAGTTTTTCAGGAAGACCTGTGGTTGTGTTCCTCTGATCTTTGGAATCTTCTTCCAAAATCAGAATGGAAATACCATGTGAAAAGAAAAGGTCTGACTCCACCCTCCCTTTTCCTTATAGGGTTTGGAAGAAGGAATCTCGCAGATCACTTCTAAAAACAGAGTTGCCCCGCAAGACCTGGTGTGGAATTTCCCCATTGACATCACCTTCAAGAGCACGAATCCCTTTGGCTGTAAGTAAAGTGAAGCAAGAGGGTCTTGGAGCTCGAAAACCACCAACAGGAAAAGGGCGGTTGAGGTGCTCTGGCCCGTCTCCCAAGATTGGTGCATGCATGTTAGAAGAGAGATTTGGAATACAACAGATATGGAGGGTTCTAGTAGCCCTTAGCGAGGCTTTGGGCTTCTGAAAGGAAAGACAGAATGGATGGATCAGGCCTTTCGATCCCTTCTGCTTAATAAAATGGGAAGGGAAGAGGGTGTTTTCTGTCCTGAAAAAGATCTCAGAATTCTGCAGTGAGGCAACCGAAATTCTGCACCAAGCAAAGCTGAATTCGGTGCTTGCTACAAATGCTGAAAACTTAGTGCCTTTTAACACTTAACAAATACATTCATACCTCAGGTCAAATACGCTTCAGGTTGAGCGTTTTCGGGTTGCGCTCCGCAGTGACCCGGAAGTAACGGGACGCGTTACTTCCGGGTTTCGCCACTTGCGCAGATGCTCAAAATCACGTCACGTTCATGTGCAGAAGCGGCGAATCGCAGCACGCACAGATGCAGGTTGCGTTCGCTTCAGGATGTGAACGGGGCTCCGGAACAGATCCTGTTTGCATCCAGGGGTACCACTGTAGCTGGGTTACTTATACTGCTTTTACTAGTTGCAGAGAAGGGCAAAGAGAGACTGCAGAGGAGAGTTCTGCTTATACGTACATTTTGGACATCCTTTGCTCTCCATCAAGACTGGCAAGAACTGAATCCACTGAGGGAGGAACCTTCCTGCAATGCTGGGGGTTGGACTAGACGACCTTTGGGGAACCCCTTCCAACTCCACAATTCTACGATTCTGTGATTCCACCAGCTATGCTCCTTTTCAGCCATGCCTGTTAAGAAGGCCTGAGACCAAACACGCTTGGCAAAGTGGGTCTTCTTCCCCGTACAACCCAAGACGCCTCGCCTCAAAGGAATAGCTGATGAATCTGGGGCCTTACACCTGTCACAAATCCAGAAATAATACAAAACAAAACGGGCCAGCCTGCCGCTTTGTGTCACTGAGCTACTTTGCCCTGGGGGCAGGAGGAGGGGGGGGAGACACCTGGCCACCTGTTTACCCAGCAGGAATTATTAGTCGCCGAAGCCAAGTTATACAACTTCAGAGCAGCTCTCCCACCAAGCGTCATCCACGCACCTGCAGCTGGTGCAGAAAACATGGTGGGATGCTGGTAATAGCCAGCAAGATGGGAAGAGGACCAAATCCATCGCAGCACCCTTAGGTTGATGAACCTTTTCTTTTCTCTCAAGGGCCTCAGATAGTCATAAGCGTGTACGGCCCTGATCTTTTTGGGAATGACGTGGTCCGAGGCTATGGAGCGGTTCACATTCCTTTCACCCCGGGGAGGTGAGTTCATAATCGCACTCCTTGACTCAGTTTGAACATAGTTGCCTTGAGCTGTTGCACTCTTCTTCTTTTAAAAAATACAGTTTTATTGGTTTCCAATATATAACAATTACAAAAGAGAGAGGAAAAGATGCAACAACAACAACAACAACAACAACAACAACAACAACAACAATAATAATGATAATAATAATAATTTTATTTATATCCCGCCCTCCCCAGCCGAAGCTGGGCTCAGAGTGGCTAACATCAAATGTATAATACATTAACATAAAATCAGACAATCAATTAAAATACATCCTCAAATCAGATCAGGATCAGAATAAAATCCAATCGGAAGGCAACCCGCAGATTAGGGTTGGGGACCTTAAATGCTCACCAGGCCCAACTGTTTGTGCTGAGCTTATATGGGCCTGTGAGAAAAATTGGGAGGCCACTTTCATGCAAGTTCTTATGAAAGGGGAGAGGGAGTCAGACTGAACCCCGACCAAAGGCCAGGTGGAACAGCTCTGTCTTGCAGGCCCTGCGGAAAGATGTCAAATCCCGCAAGGCCCTAGTCTCTTGTGACAGAGCGTTCCACCAGATTGGAGCCAAATATATTCTTGCAGTCTTGAAAACCAGCGTCCAGAGTATGAGACGGACGCTACCGCTGGGTTATGGGAAGTCGGCCAAAGAGGAGCTGATCTCTCAGCAGAGCCATTGTGGGTGGGTCACTGAGATGACATAACCATTATTTCCTTAAAGAATAGGTCCCAGTCCCCTGCTCACTGGGTCACTGCAACGTTATTTCATCCTTGTTCATTATTGACTCCACAAAACATCAAATCCTTTTTCTTTCTCCCAAGGGGTACGTGAGGTTTTTTGCCTTTGATGGGGCACAGAAAGCCCTGACTTTCTTAATCTTTCTTTTCTGGATCTTTTCTAATTGGTTGAGCTCCCAGATTTGGATATCCTAAATTCTCTTTCAGGCACAGGAGGACCATCCCAATGTTCGTTCCTGAATCGACATCCAAGCTGCAGAAGTTTACAAGGTACTGAAGAATGCGTACGATGTGGGTGAAAATTTACTGGGAAGTGTTTTTTTTATACATGTCTTAAAAGCACTGGGCTCCAGTGGGCATCATCTCAATTTACTTGGTTCACTTGTCCACACTGCTGTCCCAAGTCACCTTTGACCGCTGGGGTAGCAATATGACCTCCCTGCCACCGATTAGACGGCTTGCAAATATAACAGCTTGATTGCACATAGGTGCCCTTTTTGTGCAAAGTGTTTAATATTTAGGGAGCAAGCCACGCAAACGAGGGCCCTATGCAATTTGATATTTGAACCAAACAGTTATACAAACTGGCCCCTGGCACAGCCTGCCAGCGGCTTAAAGCTTCTCCCTAACCACACTTGCATGCACACAACTGTTAACACTTTCCTCGCTGTGTGTTGGGTAGGAGGGGCTTGATCCCCATACACTGTAAACAACGCACTGTTGGCCAGGGCTGGGGACGAGGCACAGGGGGGAGTTCAAACTGTTGGCCAGCTGTGGCAAAGGAAGACTCGCCAGGGGCCTAGTAAGAATTGTAGAATCATAGAATCATAGAGTTGGAAGAGACCACAAGGGCCATCGAGTCCAACCCCCTGCCAAGCAGGAAACACCATCAGAGCACTCCTGACATATGGTTGTCAAGCCTCTGCTTAAAGACCTCCAAAGAAGGAGACTCCACCACACTCCTTGGCAGCAAATTCCACTGTCGAACAGCTCTTACTGTCAGGAAGTTCTTCCTAATGTTTAGGTGGAATCTTCTTTCTTGTAGTTTGGATCCATTGCTCCGTGTCCGAATAAGGAAGCAAAGGGTCATTGTTTAATGGCAGGGCTCTGGCTTTGCAAACTCAATCCTTGGCATCTCCAGGTAACACTGGGGAAATTTCCCCATCTGAAACAGTGGAGAGCTGCTGCCACTCTCATCAGGGTGGACTTGATTTAAATCAAATCAATTTAAATCACTAGCCAGTAAGACTTGTTTTAAATCATTTTTTTTACGGAAAGAGTCATTCTTGCTGGTATAATAATATTTCCAACCAGAGGAAGCTTTCATTTTTGGAATAATAAATTTTCAGAGCAGTTTTTACAGTTATATAAAAAAATTACTGATTTGGTTATACTATTAGAAATACATAGACAGATAATTATGAAATTATTGTGAGGTTCAATAAGTTAACTGTTTATATTTGGACAACTTTTCTGCTGCACTTTATTGGAAGGAGAAAAATAATCATTTCCTTAATAACAATTTAAACAGTTTATTTAACTAAAACAATAACATTATAGCATATGTATCCATGTTTGTTAAGTGATGTGGTTAAACAATTTAAGTGAGTTTTACCACACATGAAAAACTTAAAACAAATCCTTATTTCCTGATAAATAGCCTCTGGACTATAATGTAACTTAAATAGAAAACTATCTTTAGAAAGATATTTTTCCCCCAAAGCATTTTATTTTTGAAAACCAATTTAAATTTAAAAAACCAATTTTTTTTATTTGATTTTTTAAAAAAAGATCATTGGTTTTTATCCACCCTGCCACTCACTGTAGACTGGGGTGGGGAACCTGTAACCCTCCAGGCAACGTTAGACTACAGCTCCCATCAGCCCTGGCCTCCAAGGCCAGTGGTCAGCGATGAGAAGAGCTGTGCTCTAACCACTTCCAGAGATTCAGTGTCTCCACCCCTTGTTCAAAGCACCTTGCTATGTGGTTCCCAACAAAGTCTGGGAGCGTTTGTGGCTGGTTGAACTTGTAGGAGAGATTCTGGGATTGTGAGATTTGGGGCCGCAGTAACATTTGACAGGTTTAGGTTACGGGGGGGATTTGGATCGAGTGGAACTGTGAGGCTGCCTTGACAACCCAGGAACTTTCTCTTTCTCCCAGCTGGCTTATGGGAAGACGCCCAGAGTTCACGGACCCCAAGGTCGTAGCGCAGGGAGAAGGCCGAGAAGGCAAGTGCTTGGGGAGGGAACCCCCCTTGGATGGGATGAACGTTATCTGCAGGCCCGGCCCTGCGGAGGTGGAATCACAGGCAGAGCCTGGCCCCTAAAGGGCAGTGGCAAAGACCGAGCTTGAAACGTTGCCCCGATTCAAGATGCGCTCATGGTCAGGGCTGCTCCTCCTGCAGAGGGTGTTGTCACAGGATAATTCTTGTGGTATGGGGGAGAAATATGCAGCGGGTTGGGCAAGATGAACCTCGAGATCCCTTCCAACTCTACCATTCTGGGATTCCAAAGCAGGCTGCGTTATATCTGCCAATAAATAAGCATTGCCAAGGGAAGACGTCCAGTGTTAGTAGGGTGGCGATGAATGTGCAGCGCTTACTCTCCCCCCACTGAATTTTCAAGTGCAGTTGCATTCAGAAAAGCAGACATCAAACCACCACCCTTCAATCTTAATGTCCTTTTTATGGCCTCAGCCCAGTAGACCTGAAGAAGCGTCTCCACCCTCATTGTTCAGTCCGGACACTTTAGGTCCAGCTCTGAGGGCCTTCTCGCGGTTCCCTCCCTGTGAGAAGTGAGGTTACAGGGAACCAGGCAGAGGGCCTTCTCGGTAGTGGCACCTGCCCTGTGGAACGCCCTTCCATCAGATGTCAAGGAAATAAACAACTATCTGACTTTTAGAAAACATCTGAAGGCAGTCATGTTTAGGGAAGTTTTTAATGTTTTATTGTGTTTTTAATATCCTGTTGGGACGCGGGTGGCACTGTGGGTTAAACCACAGAGCCTAGGACTTGCCAATCAGAAGGTTGGCGGTTTGAATCCCCGCAACGGGGTGAGCTCCTGTTGCTCGGTCCCTGCTCCTGCCAACCTAGCAGTTTGAAACCACGTCAAAGTGCAAGTAGATAAATAGGTACCGCCCCGGCAGGAAGGTAAACGGCATTTCCGTGCACTGCTCTGGTTCTCCAGAAGCGGCTTAGTCATGCTGGCCACATGACCCAGAAGCTGTACGCCGGCTCCCTCGGCCAGTAAAGCGAGATGAGCACCGCAACCCCAGAGTCGGCCACAACTGGACCTAATGGTCAGGGATCCCTTTACCTTTACTTTAATATTCTGTTGGGAGCTACCCAGATTGGCTGGGGAGGCCCGGCCAGATGGGCGGGGTACAAGTAATAAATTATTTTTATTTTATTTTAAGAGTGAAATAAACTCTTGCTGGTTTTCATTTCATTCCACTTGGTCTTCTTCCAGTGACCCGGGTGCGCTCGCAAGGCTTCGTCACCCTCTCCTTCAACGTGGTGACCAAGGACATGAAGAAGCTGGGCTACGACGTGAGCCCTGCCAGCGCGTCCAACCCCTCGCTCCCGTCAGTGGCCGGCGGCATTCAAAACTACTGAACACCAGGTGGTTGCTGGCCTGCTTTGAAAGCCTGTAGGGTCCCCTGGCAAAGGTATTTGAACTAGCATCACTCCAGATGACAGCTGAGGCCTGTTGTAGTTGTCATGGGACTAACAAGTGTGTCCTGAGGACCGTTTCAAACATTCTGTTACTGAGGTGCTATGGCAGGGTGCTGAGCTTATAACCCATAGCCTGTGTCTGAACCCCGCCCCCTGCCCCACCAAAGCAATTCTGGGTACACCCCAAACACCAGCTTTGCCTGCAGCGACGAAATCAGAAGCAAGTACCGTGGCATCCCTAGATAAGGCAGAGTGGTTTAAACCCAGGCCAGCATTGTGCCAAGTCCACCCTCTTCATATAAACTGCAGAGCAGGCTGGGTTTTCCTTCCCTCTACCCAATGCAGCAGGGATAGTGAGCATAGTTGCCTCCAGCTGACTGCATCTCCCATCATCCCCGGCCTTCTGGCCAAGCCTGATGGGAGTTGGAGTTCAAGAATCCATAGAGCACTGACAAAGGGCCATTCTATTGAAGGGAATGCAGCAGGATTTTGGAGGGCACCAGGCGATGGCAGATTTCTCATATATGGCTGGTCATGTAAGGAAGGGTTCCATGCATGTAGAAATGTAGTGCAGCAGGGAGCAAGCTTGCAGGCTTTTTTTTTTTTAGCAGCGCAACATTGAAAGGATTACCTGCAGCTTAAAATCATGGGTTTCTCAGTTTCTCGCTTCTGCTTCGAGTGGTCGGTTATCCCATTACGGCAGAGACAGAAAGCATAGCACATAGGAAGGGCTTACAAACTTGCCTGCTCTGTGCCAGCTACACTTAAGCCATTTGCAGGTGTTCCTCTGCCCAGCTTGCTAGCAGTTGCAAGGGGCAACTCTTTTCTTCAGGGGAACGTTCCTGTATATCCCAAAGCACGTTGTGGCAGAAGCAGTCCTAATGCCCCAACCTCCTCAAGTTAATCACTTCCTTTTTTCATACACATTACTCATCCTTAAGCATTCACTTGTTTAAGACGATGTTTGTAACTGTTGGAAAGTTGGAGGTAAGAGAGAATCTGCTTTTCTCGCTCTCTGACCGCCCCTTTTGGCACCTGATTTATCCCATTTCATCAGTATTGCAGAACTGGTTTAAATTAGTCCTGCAGGGAGGCCCACTGCTGTTGCGCAGCAAACAAGTGGGTTTAATGGCCAGCATGAATGAGACCTGCAGGAAAGTATAAGGGATAGTTTGAATATTACTTGAAACTGGCTTCTTGCAGTATGGGAAGTGATATTTTAAAAATAATGCCAACACTTATTTACGAAAGCAATAGCATTCACTATTCAACAGATGAGCTTATTTAGAATTTCCTACACCCAAACTGGTGCTTTGTAAAGGATCTAGAGAGTACCCTTGTACTTACACCATTTTGTAAAGTTTCTTTTTAAATAAAGGATTTCCACATTTGTGGGGGCAGCAGTCTTCTTTGTAGTAATATTGTTTGCAAGGTTTTTTAAAAAATGTGGTGGGGAAAAGAGAGTCGTCTTATCAAATCACTCTGAGTATGTCCATACATGAATGCACAGAGCATTTGCCTTTATTCCTATGTATCAAGAGCACGAAACAATGATCCTTTGGACTTAATGATGTCCAAAAGAAGAGATGGTGGTTTGGTTAGGGTGAAACAAACCACAGTCTGGAGGCAAGGTTTGTTCTCAACTTACCAGTCATGGTTTGTTTAGAGCAGGGTTTCCCAAACTTGGGTCTCCAGCTGTTTTTGGACTACAACTCCCATCATTCCTAGCTAGCAGGACCACTGGTCAGGGATGATGGGAATTGTAGTCCAAAAACAACTGGAGACCCAAGTCTGGGAAACCCTGGTTTAGAGCAAAAGAAACCACTATCCCCTATCGGCGATAACACCAAGCCAAGGAACATGGTGCTTGCTTCCGCTCCCTAGGGGAGAGGAGCAAAACTGGAGTGCTCTGCCCTTCCATAGGTAAAGGTAAAGGGACCGCTGACCATTAGGTCCAGTCGTGACCAACTCGGGTTGCGGCACTCATCTCACTTTATTGGCCGAGGGAGCAGGCGTACAGCATGACTAAGCCGCTTCTGGCAAACGAGAGCAGCGCACGGAAACGCTGTTTACCTTCCCGCTGGAGCGGTACCTATTTATCTACTTGCACTTTGACGTGCTTTCGAGGTTGGCAGGAGCAGGGACCGAGCAACGGGAGCTCACCCCGTCGCGGGGATTCGAACTGCCAACCTTCTGATCCGCAAGCCCTAGGCTCTGTGGTTTAACCCACAGCGCCACCCGCGTCCCCTGCACTTCCATACTAAACAGTTAACCACAGCTTACCATGGCATGCAAATAAATACACCCAGAAAACCCTCGTCAAAGGGAAAAATGAGATAACACCTGGGAAAGTTTTGCAGAGATTTCAAATGGTGGCAAAATTCAGCAACCACAGTTGCAACTGGAGCAGAAAAGAGAAGAAGTTAAATTGGTGGCTCTCCGTACCCTTGCAAAAATTAAATAATTTTGGCCTTGTTAAGGTTTTCCAGTAGGGGGAGCCAGAGCTCTGTGGAAAAACCAAACGGTAGACAGATAAAACTCTGCAACATTTGTAGTCGTTCCCCAATTTGAGGTTGCAAGTGTAGCGCAACGAAATCGCAAGACCGTGTGGCATTTGCTACGTACAAATTCCCTCCCTCCAAAGGGAAGTGGCACATAGTATCAAAGCAGCGAGGACAGGTATTCGCTTATAATGGAGCATGAAAGAGCTGGAGCAGATACTGTTCCCACCGCCACCAAATCGGCTCTGCGCTCCTAGAATCATGTTGGATGCATGCAAAAGATGGCAGCACATTAGCGCTGTTTCATGGTGCAACCTCCTGCAGCTAACAGCAGCTTTGGTGCCTATACACTGAGGGTGGGGATCCTTTCGAAAGCTGCCATAGTGAGGCCGTACTGCAAGGAATGAGCCAGGCAAGGTCCTAGGCCACTGCCCGCTGCCCCCAAGTCATTTCAGTCATTCTGGAGATTGCTGCTGCTTTTTGCAATAGTGGCTGTTGACGGGGTGAGGGTTGGGTTGGGGAGCAGGGATAGAAGCTCTTGAGCGACTCCCCATTTCCCAGTTCTTTGAGTACTTGCACAGAGGCTTCCAATGCACCTTAAAGTCACAAAGATGTGTGATGGAAAAGGCAGGGAATTTGCACCACCCGCCATCACTGCTTTATAAACAGCAGAATTGAGCAGGGCACTCAAAAGAGGTCCAGGTAGCACTGTGTATTCTTTGGAACAAATGTAGAATTGTAGGCAGCTTTCTGCCATGCAGCGGATAAGAGAGAGAAAAGCAGGATGGAAAGGAAAGCATATCGGAGACTGGCCAGCTCTAAGCTGGGCGCTTTCACAGGTTGGGGCCAAAAATCAGAACCAGCTGAGACTCCCTTCCCTGTGGGTATAACAGAGCAGAAATCAGGCTGTCCCACACAAGGAGAACATTACTACACCAAATAGAGATTTAAAAAAAAATATTCTGCAAAACATTTGTACAGGCTTGAAAAGGATACAAGCGAAAAGACTTTCAACAGAGAATCTTCTTATATATTTTATTTTCAAGTCAAAGCCAAAAGCAAAAATCTCTTAAGCCCGAGCGCAGAGGGTCTTCTGTGAAGGGAGATCTGGGCTATTTGCCCAGATTTTTATCCACGTTAACCAGACACCGATTGTCCTTGCATGCACATAACTTCCTGTTCTCGTATCTGGTGGCAGCTTATCATGTTGACCTTTTCAGGAAACTCCAGCTGGCTGTTCTGGGCTGCTTGCCAAGTTAGTGATGGAGAGGAGAATCACCGCAGATTTTAACACACCAAAGTGAATAATATTAAGGTTATTTTACATTCCCTGAAACTGCAAAAGCCCCAAGCAATTACATTCTCTGTCCAGATGAACTGTTACGAATTAGGTGCCAGGGAAGAGTATGACACCAGGTCCATCCGGGCTCCTAACAAAAACCTAGATTCAGCAGCAAGGGGATGAAATACACACTCAATTTTTAAAAGCATGCATACAGTTTGGAAGTAGCAAATAGAAGGGGGAGAACCAGATTAGGGCAAAGGCCCTGAGCAGTACATCATATTTTTGTTTGACTATAAAGCCCAGAAGTGTATACAACTCCTTTTTAGGAAATCAAAGCAACTTTGATAGTTTCAATTTTGATAAGTTTGTGGAATGCTCTCCCCAGAGATGTTCACCTGGCGCCTTCATTATACACCTTTAGACACCAGGCAAAAACGTTCCTCTTTTACCAGGTCTTTGGTTGATGTCCAATGCCCTGTTAAAATGTGTTGTGGAGGGGGGATTGCTTGGTTGTTTTTTGTTTTTATTGTGTATTTTGTGATTTTATGTTGCAGCCGCTCTGAGTGAGACTTGCGAGTATAGGGTGGTATGCAAATTTTATAAATAATAATAATTTTTTAAAAAACAGAACCACGTCCACAAAATGAAAAGGCAGCTAAGAGTAGAATCCTCAAAGGGTTTGCTAAACAACTATCTTAGGCATGGGTAGGCAAACTAAAACCCGGGGGCCGGATCAGGTCCATTCGCCTTCTAAATCCAACCCACTGACAGTCCGGGAATCAGCGTGTTTTTACATGAGTAGAATGTGTCCTTTTATTTAAAATGCATCTCTGGGTTATTTGTGGGGCCTGCCTGGTGTTTTTACATGAGTAGAATGTGTGCTTTTATTCAAAATGCATCTCTGGGTTATTTGTGGGGCATAGGAATTCGTTCTTTTTCCCCCTTCAAAATATAGTCCGGCCCCCCCACAAGGTCTGAGGGGCAGTGGACCGGCCCCCTGCTGAAAAAGTTTGCTGACCCCTGTTCTTAGGGCTGGTACATTGCTAGACAACTGTTGCTTCTGACGGACAGCTTGTCTCTGCCGATGACACCATTCAGCTGAAACAACCTCCATCAACCTGGCACGACAACTTCTGTCAGGTGAGAGTTGTAATCCAAAGGATCTGGAGAACATCAGGTGTGGGGAAGGCTAAAAGAGAACTTCTCCTCTCCCAAAAAACATTGTGGGCATGTCCAACTGTGAGACATCAAGGCTTGAGCGGGCAGGTGAGTTATGTACCTGAAGAAGAGGACCAGAAAGTCACCACCCGAGGTCTTTCTCCCTAATCTGACACCCAGTGGAGAATTGATGTGTGGACCAGGATTATATGAGAGGGGAACACACACAAAAATGCCTTATACAGCAGGTTGGACTCTTTTGTCCTGTCCAATGCTGGTCCAATTGTAACTGGCTCTCCAAGGTCTCAGACTAAGAAAACGTTTTGCTGGAACGGACAGTGCCTGGGACCTTCTGAACGTACAGAAGAAAAGGACGGCCAAAATGATCAAGGTGGCGGTGAGGAAAAGTTGCAGCCCTTGGGACCATTCAGTTTAGAGGGAAGGCAAGTGAGAGGTGACAGGATGGGAAATTATGCATGGCATGGAGAAAGTGGGCATAGTATTTTCTCTCTCCAATGATGTGTACCTAGGAACATCCAATGATTTTGGAAGATTCGGTATAATTAAACTATGGAACTCGCAGTGACAGCCACCAACTCAGATGGCCTTGAAAGAGGACTGGACCAGATACATGGAGGAGAGGGCTATCGATTGCCACTAGCCATGCGATTCTTGCACTCGAGTCCTGCTTGTGGGTTTCCCAGGGGTGTCTGGTTGGCCACAGGTCGTGCCACTGGCCTGATCTAGCAGGCAGGCTCTTCTTAAATGTGCTCCTTACTCAGCTACAGGTCCTCTCCACGCCAAAGCAATAGTACAAATGTAGCAGAGATCTATTCACCCATCTAGCAAAGCTTGTCAGAACTAAAACATCTTCAATTGTTTCCCGAGAGCACAGATAGTGGGTGCCTGTGTCTCGAAATAATAATAATAATAATAATAATAATAATAATAATAATAATAAATTATTTATATCCCGCCCTCCCCAGCCGAAGCCGGGCTCAGAGCGGCTAACAACAGTCAAATAATACAACATTCTAAAATCATGGATGCTATTACAAAGAACTGGAAGCTATGCTGAAAGCCCTGCTCCAGAATGGACTTCTATGATCTTTAGCAGATCTCTTGCAGATCTTGAAGCAGCTCTCATGCAGACCACAGTGCATAAGGTGCATAGGAGATAAGGTAAAAGACCCCTGGATGGTTAAGTCCAGTCAAAGGCGTCTATGGGGTTGCTGTGCTCATCTCGCGTTCAGGCCGAGGGAGCCGGGGTTTGTCCACAGACAGCTTTCTGGGTCAGCATGACTAAACCGCTTCTGGTGCAAGAGAACACCATGATGGAAACCAGAGTGCACGGAAATGCCGTTTACCTTCTCGCCACAGCAGTACCTATTTATCTACTTGCACTGGTGTGCTTTCGAACTGCTAGGTTGACAGGACCAGGGACAGAGCAACGGGAGTTCACCCCATCGCAGGGATTAGAACTGCTGACTGCCAACCGTCTGATCGGCAAGCCCAAGAGACTCAGTGGTTTAGACCAAAGCGCCACCCGCGTCCCAGCATAGGAGATAAGGCAGCCTCAAAGTATGATAACTTAGTCCTGCGCTTTGTAGGACCTTATAGGTTAGTACCAAAATTCTGGACTTGACCTGGTAGCATAGATATGCTGGCTCCCGGACATATGAACCAGCCTATTAATCCCTTTCAGTGCAATTAAACAGCTCTTTCGGTGAATAGAATTGGAATCTGACTCTTAATTGCTCTCACTATACTTGCAACGAAGCCAAATAAAAAGTAATTCGCCTGCCTGCCCACCCCCAAAATTCCTGTTACAGTAACTGGGATATTCTGCCTGCCAGGCTTGGATGGAGTACCTGTAGTTGCAAAGAGCAAAAGAGAGGCAGCATGCTGTTGCAATAAAGAGAGGGCAGGAAACAGGACAGGCAGAGGGTATTGTCACCAAGGAGAGGAAGAAATTAAAAAGGAATTGCAACAGGAGAACATGGAGTGGGGGAGGGAGAGAGAAAACTTTCCAAACAAGTTATGTTGAGAACAGGCGACAAAATGTTCCGCTTTAAGAACAGGAAGAGTCAGAACCTGGGGTTTTTTGGGGGGCGGAGGGTGACAGGCAGATTTGCTGCTATGTCAGGCTTGGGAACAGATGGCTTTGATCATCAATTCATTGCAGGAACAAAAAAAAGAACCTGATGCAAAATTAATCATTAAGCGGGGGACTGAGCGCAGCCACATTCTCCTGGGGACGAGCGATTGCAAGTAATATCCATCCGGTTCATTTCCCATCCCTCCAGTGCACTGAAGTGGGGATAGGGCACTCAAGGTTGGGTTCAAATCCCCGCTTGGCCATGAAGCTCGCTGGGTGGCCTCGGTCAAGGCACTTTCATCTCAGGCTACGCTATCCTACCAGGGCTGCCTTGAGAATGAAAGGGGAGTTAGGGGAACACCCCCCCAGGTCACCGTGTGCTCCTTGGAAGGCTCCCAAGACAAACACGAAATGTAATTTCAAGACAAACAAGAAATGTAGTTTCTGTCGCCCAGACTCCGGATTGCATCTCTTCCAGACACTGCTACCTCCCACACTGAGCAGGGCACGACCGTGTCAGCGCTCTCAAAAACAGCAGGGATTTCTTCGCAGAATGAAAGAGCAGGCCTGGTGGCTCAGAGCCAAAGGCACATCTCGTCCAGGAAAGGGGAGTGATTTGGAGATATAGGTAAAAGGAGGCACAATGCAGGTATGTCTAAAATAATACACAGTGGAGAGAAAGTGGATGGAGTTTTTCTCCTTTTCATTACTAGAACTCAGGGGCATCCAGACAGAAGTTGGGAGATTCAAGACAGACCAATTTAAGTGCTTCGTCAAGCAGCAGAGTTAAACTGTGGAATTTGCTCTCAGCCTTCATACCCTCCAACATTTCTCCAATAAAATTTTTGTTGTTTAGTCGTGTTCGACTCTTTGTGACCCCATGGACCAGAGCACGCCAGGCACTCCTGTCTTCCACTGCCTCCCGCAGTTTGGTCAAACTCATGCTGGTAGCTTCAAGAACACTGTCCAACCATCTCATTCTCTGTCGTCCCCTTCTCCTTGTGCCCTCCATCTTTCCCAACATCAGGGTCTTTTCCAGGGAGTCTTCTCTTCTCATGAGGTGGCCAAAGTATTGGAGCCTCAGCTTCGCGATCTGTCCTTCCAGTGAGCACTCAGGGCTGATTTCCTTCAGAATGGGTAGGTTTGATCTTCTTGCAGTCCATGGGACTCTCAAGAGTCTCCTCCAGCACCATCAAAAGCATCAATTCTTCGGCGATCAGCCTTATTTATGGTCCAGCTCTCACTTCCATACATCACTACTGGGAAAACCATAGCTTTAACTATACGGACCTTTGTTGGCAAGGTGATGTCTCTGCTTTTTAAGATGCTGTCTCGGTTTGTCACTGCTTTTCTCCCAAGAAGCAGGCGTCTTTTAATTTCGTGACTGCTGTCACCATATGCAGTGATCATGGAGCCCAAGAAAGTAAAATCTCTAGCTGTCTCCATTTCTTCCCCTTCTATTTGCCAGGAGGTGAGGGGCCCAGTGGCCATGATCTTCGGTTTTTTGATGTTGAGCTTCAGACCATATTTTGTGCTCTCCTCATTCACCCTCATTAAAAGGTTCTTTAATTCCTCCTCACTTTCTGCCAATAAAAATAGGGACGTCCTATTCCATGATAATTATATATTTTATTATTTATACCCCACCCATCTGACTGGGTTGCCCCAGCCACTCTAGGCAGCTTCCAACATATATAAAAACATAATAAAACATTATTTATTTATTTTTTATTTAAAAAAGCCTTCCCTATACGGGGCTGCCTTCAGATGCCTTCTAAAGGTTGTATAGTTTTCTCCTTGGCTCGGGGGTCGCATAACTCCATACCCTCCAATGAAAATAGGAGACATCCTACCATACCCTCCAACATTTCTCTAATGAAAATAGGAACCTCATAAGGAAAAGCAGGACATTCTGGGATCAAATCAGAAACCAGGAGGGCTTCTGTAAATATGGGACTGTCCCTGGAAAATAGGTACCCTTGGAAGGTCTGAAATTTTGGATGGCTTTAAAAGAGGATTTAGCCAAATTCACGGCTGCTAAACCTGATACCTTCTCCTGGAGTGTTTTTGCCATGCTAAGGTGTCTCTTTGAACTAGGATACCGTATTTTTCTGTGTATAACACACCCCCATGTATAAGACGCCCCCTATTTGGGGGGACTCCAAATTAAGAAAATGGGGGGAAATGCCCAGAGTTGTTGAGCTTTTTGGGGGGGGAGGGTTGACAAAAACTGCTCACCCGACAGAACTACGATGCCACTCACGCGCATCACAAACACCTCCAATCCACTGTCCCATTGCCGGCATAAGCCACCAATCGCCCGCCCAATTGCTGCAGCATCAGACAATCAAGCCCAGCCCTTACTCAAAATAGTTGAGTGGATGCTCTATGGTTCCTGGAAACAACATATAACACGTCCCCCCCAATGAACTACCTGTGTATAAGACGAGCCCAAAATTTCAACGCTATTTTAATTTTTTTAAAACCCCTAGTGTTATACATGGAAAAATACGGTAATTCATTTGCTTGGATGGAGAATCGAGAGGGATGCAAGCGTAGAAACTAGCCTGTTGTAGAGAGGTAAAATTAGCATCCATTGCGACACCCACTTTGGATTCTACCTCCACCCACCACTAGCACTTGTGTCCATCCACACACACACACCCCTCCAAAAGTTGCCTGGACTGGAATGGGCCAAAGAAGATTCCCCCACCTGTTTGCTATTCTAAGCACCTCAGGGCAGGGGCCTGTTCTCCTGGACTTTCGTAAAACACTGTGCATATTTGATGGCACAAATGAGCATTAATCGCTGCCGTGCACTCGGTCATTGGCGAGCTGTAAAGGTAAAAGGAAGGGACGCGGGTGGCGCTGTGGGTAAAACTTCAGCGCCTAGGACTTGCCGATCGCATGGTCGGCGGTTCGAATCCCTGTGGCGGGGTGCGCTCCCGTCGTTCGGTCCCAGCACTTGCCAACCTAGCAGTTCGAAAGCACCTCCGGGTGCAAGTAGATAAATAGGGATCGCTTACCAGCGGGACGGTAAACGGCGTTCCGTGTGCTGCGCTGGCTCGCCAGATGCAGCTTGTCACGCTGGCCACGTGACCCGGAAGTGTCTGCGGACAGCGCCGGCTCCCGGCCTCTAGAGTGAGATGAGAGCACAACCCTAGAGTCTGGCAAGACTGGCCCGTACGGGCAGGGGTACCTTTACCTTTAAAGGTAAAGGGACCCCTGACCATTAGGTCCAGTCATGGCCGACTCTGGGGTTGTGGGCTCATCTCGTTTTATTGGCCGAGGGAGCCGGCGTACAGCTTCCAGGTCATGTGGCCAGAATGACTAAGGCGCTTCTGACAAACCAGAGCAGCGCACGGAAACACCGCTTACCTTCCCACCGGAGTGGTACCTATTTATCTACTTGCACTTTGACGTGCTTTCAAACTGCTAGGTTGGCAGGAGCAGGGACCGAGCAACGGGAGCTCACCCCGTCGTGGGGATTTGAACTGCCAACCTTCTGATCAGCAAGTCCTTGGCTCTGTGGTTTAACCCACAGCGCCATCCGCATCCCTTGGCGAACTGTAGGCCATGCAAATGCAGCAGAGTGTGTTTTTCCACCTGGAGTCTGGAAAGCCACAACGGTCTCAGATGTAAGCAATACATGTTTAATTCTGACAAGCCATTTCTGACAAGCCCCACCTTTCCATGGCTTGCCGGCCACCACAATTCTGCAGCAAGGGGCAGGGGAAAGGGCACAGATACAGAGCATTATGATACAACGGTACAAATGATAAATTATACCCATACAATGAAAAGGTCAACAGCACAAGTTCAAATCGAAAGTAACCTGCTCTCAACATGTTAGAAAACAGCCTGTTAAATTTGTATCTATGGGTGTGCATTACCACTTGAGAGTGTGTGCATGTTTTCGCCGTTAAAAATTAAACTAGATATGCCTCCGCAGCTGACAACAATGTTAATAAAGAGTACAGGATGCATTAAAAATGGCAACAGCCATAGGGAAAGGAGTAGCCTTTGTAACAGTTGTCTTGAGATAATTTGAGTGGGCCCCAGCGGGCAAAAAACTAGAGGCTCCCCACCTGTACAGTATTGTATGGTTCTGTTTGGGAATACAGGCAGGCCCCTCCGTTACACATGTACCATAGGTGGTGCGACCATGTATACATGCATCACACCAAACCTGGAAGTGACCCGGAAACGGACATAAAATATGTCACTAAAAAGGTGGGCCAAAATGGAGCGTTTGCAAACTTTTTCAATTGCATGTGATTTCATGGAAGCGTGCAATGACCCAGAACACAAATCCCGCGAAAATCGGGCATTGCCTGTATAGAAGAAACAGTGCCCCATCTCAGGTTGTTAAGAGATGTTTCTCTACAATGTCAAGTCAATATGTTTTTGTGATCGGAGCAAAATGGCATGCTTAGGAAAATGATAAATGAGAACATAATTTATGATTTTTTAAAAATGTGGCTTAAAAAAAAAAAGCCTTTAAATGATGATTTAAAGTTCTCTTGACTTAAAATATCAAAAACCAGCCTCTTGTTCTCGACCTGCTCCAAACCCTGGCTGAGCAAAGAACTGTCAGCAGCAACACGCCCTTGAGCCCTGTTAAGGCAGGATGATTTGCTCCAGGGAAGGAGGGCAGAGCGCCATAGCTCTCCACCTATTCTGGCCCCCAGTGGGATCCGGGCACTTGTCTGCTCTGGTAAGAAGTTACTTGTACGCATGAACAAACTTTTAAATGTCTCAAAAGAGGCGTTTTTACTGCATTGTCACGGGGAACGGACAGTTGAGTAGCAGGCAGCCTCGAGTCCCCTTCTGCATGAGGAATCGGCTGCATGCCCCTTTGCCTCCATGCTATTTGACTTTAAGCAGTGGCTTCCCACAAGGCGTTGCTGCAGAGAAGAGGCAAAACTGCACCGGCACCGCAGCGCGACTCCTGCTCCCTTCCAGCGGCATTCTGGCGGGCTGCGATTCTGCTAGGACACAATGCAAAACATCTTTGAGCTGGTCGCACACCACACTTCAGCTTTGAGTAGCAGAATGTTAACAACCGCATCGCCTTTTTCGAGGGCTTAAAATGACACAATGGTTTCACAAAATCTTTGGTCAACTTGACCAGTAAGGCTGTTTTTCGATACCCTTTCTTTCAAAAGCATTAAATTGCTTTATTTGAAGAAGATTGCCAGGGGTGTGGGTGTGTGTAGCCAGGAGAGAAAGAGAGACAAGAAGCGTCAGAAAACAGATGTGTGTTTTTTAATCTACACTTCATGTTTATTTAAGAAAAGCATTACCTTGAGCAGGAAACATTTGGAATACGGATGGCTAAGATGTTTTATTTATTTATTTTTCATATTTTAGGAAAACCCCTTGAATGTGGATCGAGACCTGTCCCATGATGTAAGCATGACCAAATGTGTCAATTTCAATTTCTCTCGTTTTTCTGATATTAACTTTGGTCTGCCCCATTTTCTCACCAGGGTGCAATTTTTATAAATCCTGCACAAAAATGTGATTGCGTTTTTGTGCACGCCTTCCTCCATGTAATATTTTTTTTTCCCAATTTTCAAATAATTCCCCCTATCGCAATGCATTTTTGTGTGTGTCATTTTTTTCCAAATATAGACATCGCAGTGTCCGCTTTCCCCCATAAATGCATTTCTGAACATTTTTGGGTTGTGGAGAACTACATCAGAAAATTCAGCGAGAGCAAATCTTGAAGGATGGCTGTGTTTCAGTTCGCAAGTTGGTTCTGGAAATGTGACGAGCTGTAAACTGGACCAATTTCCTCCACCACCTCCCTTTGCCTGTCAGGATGAGCCCCACCCCCTCCCCCACCCCAACCCCAACCGAAGAAAGCATAGCCAACAAGCAGGAAATACACCAACATTGGGCTGAAACATACTTGGTTCCGCTCCCATTTGCTGTAACATGTTCTGGAGGCCAAGTTCCTAAGTTCTGGCCTGGGACTAGAACTCCAAACCACCTGGGTTCTTCATAGCATCTCCACTGTTGTTCAAAGAGCTAACTTTTGTTGAGGCCTGTTGGACGCACGGGAGAGATCCAGAATCTCTGGGCTAAGAAAATGAAAAGTCACCCGGTGGGGGGGGGGGTGAGAAGGTTAGGCTTATACAGCCACAGAAATCCTGGCAAGTAGCTGCTTTATCTGCATTAGCCTCAAGACTTCCACTAGCATTTCTCAATATGATTGCAGGCTCCTTAATGCCACTGTTGTCACGATCTTCGAGCAAAAGCTTATGAACCGGGTACCTCGACACTCTGGTCTGATGCTGGAGGTGTCACCCAGCCTCTGCCCACCTGTCTCAGTGCTGTGGGGGCACTGACTGGCAGTGGGTCTGCAGGGTTTAAGAGGGGGGCATTCCCAGTCGTACCTGGAGATGCCTGGGACTCAACCAAGAACCTTCTGCCGGCCACTTAGTTAGCACTGCAAAGAAGAAGGGTTAGGAAAACAAAGGGCAGCCTACTTAGCCAAGCGAGTTGCCGTTTTTAAAGAGAGCCGGTAACGACGACTTCCACCTGAATATGGCTTAGTGAGTAATCAAAAATTCACTTTGCAAAGAAGACTGTAAACAGAGCAGGTTATTAGCACAGAGTGCATCTTTAGTTAGAAGAATTTAGTTGATTAAAATTAACAATCATACAGCGTTTTCCTTTAAAAGTTTCCCAAAGTTATTACAAGAGAGAAGTGGTATTTCATGATCTTCTGTCTATAAAAGGCTTCGGAGTCTTTCCATTCATCATGAGGGAGACATAATCGTAAAACAGGGAGGGGGAAAGGCAACTGTAGTGTTTTCCTTGTAAATGACATCTTACGTTCATATGCCACTCAAAGTTTATGCCACAGAAGCGCTTCAGCTTTCATTTCAAACTCTTCGTCCAAAAGCAAAAGGTTTATCAGTATTCCCTTTTAAATTCTCTTTATGGAAACCAAGAGCTAATATATATATATGTATGTATGTATAAAATATATAAATAAGAGGGCATTAAATCATAAAGTTACTGTAACTTAATTTTTTAGCTAGACCTGATAAAGTCTACCGAAGCTACAGACTGTTAAATAAGAACCACATTATAAAAATTAGCAAGACAGAAACAGGGCGCCAATCTTGCCAACTCAAATCCAAAATGGTACTAGTCTTTCTTTTTAAAAAAAAAAAAGTGCAAAAAAGTATATAAGGATAACTACGTATTAGCAGAGTTCATCCCAAATTAGTTCCCAGACTTGCCCCAATGAAGTTGAATTCAATGTTGCCTCCTCCCTCACCCCCTCTCTTCATTTTTAACCTGCATTGCAAGTCAATTTTTAAAAGAAAGGATAACTACGCACATTAATGTCCAAATGAACTCACTATCGGACAAGCACAGAGCGAAACACTCCTGAACACAAGCGCGGCATGCCAGCCACTCAGACAGAAGTCCTTGACGAGTCCTTGAAAGGGTACAAACTCAACACTGCATTAAAAAAAAAGCACACCTGTAGGAATTCACAACCAAATGAGAGCTTGCTTCTGTCCCGTTTTCAACAAGCTTGCCTTTTCCACCAGTTCCAACCCGACCCCACCCGACCCCAGTCCACGGGTACAGTTTGCGCTACCATGTTTTAGTGTACAAGCAGAGGAGAGAAATATAATCCCTGGACGCCCCACATCCCTTTCTCTTCTCCTAAGATGTATAAGGACTATGGGTGAACCAACAGTCTAGAACAGTATATAGTTATGTGCAAATATGTCCACTAGCGCCTTTGAGTCTCCAAACTATTCTTTACGAGGATGGGGCTCTAGCAGGCGCAGGTTGCAGCTGCTTCACAGTCCAGCACACGGTCTACAAAGAGGACTATTAAAAATGGCAGGTACTTCTTATAACATTGAAGTGATTAACAAAAAAGGGGGGGAAGCGGGAGAGAAGAAAATCTAATTTTCATGGTGCAAGTGTGGACCTTTTATGCGATGCTCCCGCAAGCTGAAAGTAAGAAGTACCATCTGCGGGAGAAGGCTAGGTTGAGATTAAACAGTGAGTAGGGAGAGAAATCTGCAACGAATGCAACTGTAAACCACAAGCCTAGTTCCCCCTGCAACCCCCAAAGTCTCTTGTACACACACAGTTCAGCCCGAACCGGCCTCAGGAAATTCCACTCAGTTCTGCAAAATCTCTTGCCAAGTTAGGTTCCACCACCTTGGCCTTTATAGGAGGAAAGGATTGGTAGCGTTAGCAGGCTGGGAGGCCGAGGGTGGAAGCCCGGTACTGTGAAGAGGCTGAGCCACTGCGCCCACAAGCCCCACGTTCATCCCATGGCCCATTCGAGTAAGAGATGCCACGGTGCCCATGACTGGCATGGGTGCCATCGCCACCGGTGCCACAGAAGGCAGAGGTACAGGCTCCATGCCCGCCGCTGGCACACTGCTGAAGGATGGGCTGCTTCCCATGATGGGGCTCGACCGCAGCTGATTGAGAGTGAGGGGCTGAGGCTGATTCACTTGGAAGGGGTTGATTAGCGATGGAGCTGGAGCGGCGGCAGCAGGGGCAGCGGCGGCGGCCGTTCCTAGGGGAAAGACAAGGGGGTGGGGGCAAGAGAGGCACGTGAGCCTGTTAAGTATATCTGATTTGAAAGGGAGTCGTCTGCGCAAATACAAGACAAGATTTCACACCGGTCCAAGCTTCCCCCAATACATTGCCCAGGCTCCCCCAAAACCCGAGGCAGAAGAGTGTGATGCCCTCTGCTCTAGGGTGACATCTCTTTAGAGGGCAACAGGGTTACACATCTTAGCAATGAACGTTGCCAGAAAAACTTTTTGGAAAGAAAATGCTATTGCCCCACTGCCAATAGCTTCCTAGCACAACCAAGACACGATTCTGCAGAGTTTACCAAGGCGTTGCGACGTCTCGCTTTCCAAATGCGCTCACCCTCATTGGTAAGGTTTGAGAACCTGAGAGTTATCCCAAACTTTTGTCTAAGTCAACAAATGCAACACATTCCTATAACCCCCCCCCTTCATTTCCTATTTATTTATTTATTTATTTATTGCCACCCTTCCATTCCAATCCCAGGGCAGTTTAAAACCTTACATAGAAGGCTATCAATAAGCAAATTCTGAAACCAATAAAAGCGCATTTAGATGCATGCAATTTAGAATACAACCATAAACTCCATTAGTTCTCTAAACCAGGTATCATTAACTCCCTGCCCCTTGCAAGGCTTGGGTGAATAACCATGTTTTCATGAGGCACCAAAAGGTAAGCAAGATTGGCACCTGCCTTACTTTGGGGGGAGATGGCTCCGCAAACTGAGCATGACAGAGAAGGTTGTCCCCCCGCCCCAGTTGCCACCAGATGAATTTCTGAAGGCTGTGGCACAACCAAGAGGGCTTCCTCCCAAGGTATCAGGAGCTGGTGTGGTTTATATGGGCAAAGGCATCCAGGTCCCCAGGTTGTTCGGGGCTTTATAAGTCAATACAACACAGCCTTATACTCGGCTGCTCTTCAAAGGAAATTCTGTGCCAGCCTTTGCCAACCTGGCACCCTCCAGATGTTTTGGAGTACAGCTGCCATCGGTCCCACTGGTGAAGACTGCTGTATACTGATTTCTCCTCTCCGCTTTTGTAGATGGACAGCCTTGACAAGCAGAGTTAACATCCAAAAACAGGACAGGCACTCCACAGACAAAATGCAGAGGGTTACTTTCAGGGCGTGCCTTGGAGCTTGTGCATGCCTTGTCAGATATATTAGCATTTTGTTTTCAACAAGAGAAAGCCTTAGGGGGAGTTTCCAAGTTCCAAAAGCAGCTCAGCATGAAGCATGAAAACAGAAGCCTGGAGCAATCATGGATGCACAGAACCTGCTGCACGGATTCTTTGGACCTGGCCCATATTTAACATATGTCATGAACGTGTAACTTAAGCAAGTCATATCCAGGGAGGGAGGGAGAAGCTGGAAAATGGCACAGAAGAACTTTCCCAGGATAGGACATTTGGGCCGACTGCCAAGCTACAAATTCCTTGTACACAATTTGTTTTTTTGTCAGACCTTCGTGACCCTGGTAATAGCTTCTTCGTGAGCGCCGATAACAAGAGGGGCAGGGCATTAGCTACTAAAATTTGGCTGTCTTCCTCTGAGGGTGTTCTCAAACTACTGAGAACTAAAATAGCCAGAACAAGTCACTGAAGCTCAAAAAAAGGTTGCTTGACTGTGTTTTGTGGTTGCTTAGTTCCAACTGTATCTCCACATGCTCCCCTTGGGCTTAGGGGCTACAGCACTCCCCTTATAAAACCCTTCCATCCTCAGGGCACAGATGCAACAGATTTGGCCCACCTTGGCCCCAAATCATGAACTTGCTCTCAAAATGCGTGAAGGCAAAGCCACCCATCGAACTTAATAAGCAGCCGCTTTAAAAGTGGAAAGAAAAACACAGGCTGCTCCAACGTACAGAACTGTCCTCCTACTGAGAATGGGAAGTGAAACAGCTTGGTGGGGGAAATTACCATGTATGCTACCTTGAGCTCCTTAGAAGAATGGCGAGATACAGCATAATACATACATATATGCCCTCGGTGATTAAATTGTTACATACAGGATTAACTCTACCAGTGGCAATTTAAGCTAAGGTACAACTTCCGTTTCAGAGAGGATATACTTCTAGGTGGGCAGGAGAAAACTGGCCTTAACTTCTGTTTGCCATGCGTAAAATGGCAACAACATTAGCAGCCTGCCCTGCAAGGCCACTGTGAAGACACACAGGATCAGCACTGGGGGGCCGGGGGAGAGCAGCACGTGTAAACTATCAAGGGTTGGGATTAGTCACAAGGGATGGACACCTCTCCCTGCTTCTGAGCTGCCTTTAGTAGGTGGGGTGTTGAGCTGGGTGAACCCTTGGGTCTGGCCAAGCATGCCAACTTCTGTTTTTAGCGACTGTTGTCCCCACCCCACCCCGCTCCATTTGAACAGCAAATTTGCTCTCAAGAGCAAGATGTACCTGGAGCCAAGAACGGGTTCAGTGAAGGGGCTGGCTTGGGAGGCTTCGATACCAAGGAATCCAGGTTCACCAGAGCAGCGTTGGGGCCCAAGAAAGACTCGGGGGTTTTCCGAGCCGTGCTTTGCTTATTCGAGGCTGAGTTGGCAGGCTGAGAGTCAAAGAGGTCAGGGCTGGTCGTGCCACTGTTCTGGGCTGACAAAGAGGAACCTGAATCGCCAGAAAAGAAAATATGAATTTTTGAAAAAGGGAGGGGGGAATATGTTTCCTTCATGTTAGAATACATGCTTCTGTATTTGTAATGTATTTCGTTTGTCCCTGTTTTTACTGCCATGCTAAAGGACTGCAGTCCTAAGCCAATGTGCTTAGAACTCAATGGGGTTGCTTCCAAGTAAATGCATTTAAGGCTGAGACATACACCTAACATGGGGAATGGGGACGTTATAGCTTTCTACCACTAGAGAGCCTCAAATCTTGGTGTGTGTGTGTGCTTGCTTTTACTTCCCCCAAAATCACTTCATTTAATGGGACCATTAAAAGGTGTTGCATCTAAAGCAGGTCAGGCACGAGTCCTTCCCATTCTGGAGAATAAGGACTCTAGAATCGCAATTACAGGGTAAGATAATAGAAAGTTTCTACAAACTGACCTTGGTATCCTTCTTTAGAGTGCTGTTGGATACAGACACGGATTAATTGTCTCTATGGAGAAGACATTCAGAAGCATGAGATTTTTTGACTCCCCCTCTATTCTATTGCCATTACAAAACTGTGCATTCAGCCATGCCCCATGATCAAAGGGCTTGACTATTTAAAAGAGAGAGAGACAGACAGCTTGACCTGCCTTTAGCCAGATCACACAAACCGCTTAAATCAAAATACATAGCTATAAAATATGCAGGATGAGGTCAGATGTGGGTCTTTTCCTTCTACATAGATTTCCACAACACAGAGAACCCAAAGGTGATGGACTAGGCAGGTGTCACGTGGTTCAACAAGAGAGCAGGTGCTCTGTTCAATTCCTCTTCAGGCAGGAGATCGGAAAGGGCTCTCTCTCTTTGCCCAAAGTGCTGGAGTGCTGCTGCCTTTCAGAATAGGCAATACTAGGCTATAGGGCTGGGTGACATCATCTTTTCAACATCATGATGTATCACCAGCTAAACATCGTGATAGGCTGATACATCGCAGTGTCGAAAAGGAAGGCGCATCATTCGGCCATGGTCCCACGAGGCGCCGGGGTGAAAGTGCCTCAGCTCCTGCCGCCACCAGCACCTGGCAGTCAGAGAAGGAAGGTAAAGCGCAGGGTGGCAGGCAAGCCCCTCCCACAATATACCGCCAGATAAAGGCGCCATTGCCCTCTGGCCTTCAAACCAGTCCTGGACAATGTATTGAGGCATCGCCCAGGCCTACTGGGCCAAATGGATAAACACGCCTGACCTAGAATAAGGCAGCATCCTCCATTCCGCCACACCATGAACAAGCTGCGTTTTGGCTCTGTGGGGGCAACGGAACCCACCACACACAAGAAAATCAAATCCCAACTGAGTTGCTGTCTCTCAATAGCTGCAAAACATACAGTGCAACAGGAGAGCCAAGGAGCTTTCCAAACGCTTTGGAGCAAAGTGCACTGGGAATTCCAGAGCAACCACAACTGAAACCAGCGGGGGAGCCTTGCACAACAATGGTCTTGGTCGACTCTGGTCTGTTTCAGTGGTGCCCGCAGAGGAGTCATTCCCAGCGGATCATGTGCTCTCAAAATCTTAACTCAGAATTTCCACTCAAGCCAAATTTCTACAGCATCCTCTACTCCATTAGCCCTCGGCTGAATTTACTGCAACTGTGACATTTTTAATGTCTCCGGGCTTTGGACTGACAGCCTGAAAGGTACATCTTGATTAAAAATTATCGAAGGACGAAGTTCTAAATAAAGATCAGAAAATATGCTTTTAAAAATATGCAGTTTCCCCTCCAAAATACTGGCCTTTTTATCTTCCATTTATGGTAAGTCTAGACACACTTGGAGGGGTGTGTGTGTGTGCGTGTGTGTGTGTGTGTGTGTGTGTGTGTGCAGAAAGAGGACTGGTGCAACTGGAAATTCCAAAGCTCTATCACGCTCAAGCACCTTTATCACACATTCGTTTGGCATTTATTTCACACATACCTTGCTTTTTAGATGTCCGAAGGTTGTCGAATTCAGAAAAGTCATCTTTAATTGCCCCATTCAAGTTGCTGAAGAGGTCAAAAGATTTACTACCTGCAGGGCAGAACAACAAGGTCCTACTGTTAGTGGGATTCAGTTAGGCCACAGCAATCTGTAAGGCAAGAGATGAAGCTGCTTCCCCTTCTGTCCCAGCAGAGGCCAAACTGTCCCTATCAGAACTGAGAATATTACCTCTTTAGGACAAGCCTTTTCCAAGCTGGTGCCCTCCAGACATTTTAAACTACAACTCCCAGCAGCCCCCACCAGCATAGTCAATAGTGAGGGGTGATGGGAGAAGCTGTCCAACAACATCTGGAGGGCATCAGTTTGTGAGTGGCCACTTTAGGATTAGCAGAGCATGTGATTCCACTCCCTTTGGCTTAAGAGAGATTGGAGGGCTTATTTATTTGATTTCATTCACATTCTGCCCTACCTCTGTGAAGCTCCAGGTGGCTCACAAGGCTCAGGCAGCTTATTTTCAGCAGTACACCTGCCATTATGGCCTTCAGGTCACTCTCTGGTCCGAGCAGAAACAAGTCAATCCACTTCAGAGGGCACATGTGTGACCAAGCGTGGCCCAGGAGTGACTAAAACAGGTGAGGGGAAGATGGACCAGCACTGCAGGGCTGACAAGGTGCTACCAGCAAGGCTCAAAATGCAAAGGAAATCAAACTCTGGCTGGCCCCTTGGGATAACTCAGTCAAGGGAGAGGGAGTGGTCTGTGGCCCACAGGTTGGGAACCACTGGCCTAGAAAGTTCACCTAAACAAAGGTAAAACAAAACCACCCACCACTGCCCAAGACAGACCATAATATTTCTAAATGGTGCATTCGCAAAAGTGTTAAGATTCTGTGCCAGTGCCAACCATCCCCCCAGGTGCAAGAACCACCAGCAGGCATGTGTTTTGCTGTGAACTCCACTAAGGGAGGTTTCCCCAAAAGGAACAGAAAGGTGAGTCGCAAACATGCTGCTTACCAGAAGCAGAAAGAGGCTTGTTTGCTGGCACTGCTCCCCAGGGATCAACAGCGGCTTTTGTTGCCACAGAGGGTGGCTGAGAGGGACCCCAGGGGTCTACATTCTTTGGAACAGGCTGGGCAGCAGAGGGCACTGCTGGGGCTCCCCAGGGGTCGACGGAGGCTGCTGGTTTGGCACCTGACGGCAAAGAAAACATAATCCCAAGTAATACATTAACAGGCATATATACTTGAGAACAGGCACTACCTGTGAGATAGGCTAGGCTGAGAGTAACTTAGCCCAAAGAAACTCAATGAACAGATAGCTAAATTAGATTTTTGAACCTGGCTTGCCTGTTCCTGGGCCAACACACTAACCACGGCGTGGCTCTCTCGCAGTTGCCAAATCCTTTCCTATTCTGGACTTACCCAGCATCATCTGTCAAGCACAGGATCAGGCCTGTGTGCATCCCCCATGCCATGCATGCCAGCAAAATGACATGGAAGGTAGAACTGTTTTAGACAAACTCCGGTAGGATGACCAACACTTCCTAACCTACCCCAATGCAAAATGTTATTTGCCCTCAAGTATGGCTATGCTTAAAATAAATTCCACTGAAAGACAGCCACTGTGTGAATATAAAGAATTCTTAAAATGCAAATTCCAACACAAGATTCATGGAATCATAGAATTGTGAAGTTGGAAGGGAACCAAGGGTCGCTTAGTCCAACCCCCTGCAATGCAGGAATCAGTCTGGTTTAGCATCAATGAGCTTTGGTGCAGAAGGGAGCAATTAGTGCTGTGTGATAAGAAGAACAGGATGTCCCCCTGATAATGTTCTTATTTCTTATACTTCATTCCTATGTTTTTATTCCAGGGAGTTCAAGGCAGACACATAGCCATATCCTCACAAAGGGGGGAGGGAATATAAGAGAGAGAGAGAATGGCTGGCCCTAGATCACTCTTGGGGCACCCTGGTCTAAGAGCATCCAGGAACAGGCAACCTGGTGCCCTCCAGATGTTGCTGGACGACCAACTTCCATCAGCCCTAGTCAGCACAGCCAATGGCCAGGAATGGTGGGAGCTGTAGTCTGCCAGGACACGAAAGTTCCTCACCCCTGTTCCACACCTGATGGCTCCAAGCAGTAACCAATTTGCCTTTTCCCCCCATTTTGTGGCCAAAGTTTGCAAGTTTCAAACCCCATTCTGGCTAGCTGCTGTTCTTGCTGCTGAAAGGAGCTCAAGCTCATCAACAGGTGGTAGATTTTTCTTCCAATTTTAATTGTTTCAACAACAACAAAAACCCAGGAAGCCGCTGAAGTGCTTTGCAGAGAACACAACTAATCTTGTCCCACTGCTCCCATTTCCTCGTCCTCCTCCTGCTGCATTTTTATCAATGATGCCATCCAAGAAATGCTAATTGCCAGGGCCTGCCATAAATGGAGGCTTCCAGCACAGTCGCTCTTTCATGAGACAGATAACAAAAGCAGGGCAGGCAAAGAGAAACAAGAGGGAAAGAGGGAGGCATCTAGGAGGATACGCTTCTCCTCTGAGAAGACCCTTATCCCCCTTGAAAGGCCACAGTCCAGTGGTAAGCAAGACTTAAAAACCTCTGTTCTGCTCTGAGTCACCCTTCTGTGCTGGCATTCAGATACATAAATCTAATTTCTGCAAAACCACTCCTGGGGGGAAAAAGTAGTTGGCAAATTCCAACAAGGGGCTCTTATTGCAGGCGCTAATGAATGCTGAAAGCCAGAGAGGGGAGAAACGCCACAGCTGCAGCTAGAAGCGACAAGTTTTTGTTTGTACCTTAATACACAGAATTGATTTAGTTTTCCTGTGTCAAGAATAGAAGTTAACAAGAGAAGCTTTACAGCCCCAGGACCCAGGCCTTAGTTTGGCTTCCCTAATATGCTGTTTGATTAACAGCAACAAAAAAGGGCAATCTGACCCAGGGACTAGACAATTAAAAATGTGGTGCAACACAGGATGAAGAGCAATAGCGTCTCATATTGTGTAGGTTACATTATGAGACACACAATATTCCAGCGAAAGCCCAGAACCATGTTTGGCTGAGTAAAAGGGGTGAGAGCAGCCAAGGAAATTCTGCATTCCATTTCTGTACAAGGTGCATAAACTGGACCAGACCGCTCTTTGCAGCACCAGTTCCTGCCCTATTTTACAAGTGAGATAAGCAAGGTAAGCATTGCAAAAGATCTCTGCAATACATGGCAAACAAGCAGAAGGACAGCCGCAAAATGCAGTGTGTGCAAGAGGAGTGTAGTGGGTATCTAAGAAGCCAATTAGTGTTTTCCGCCGGGGCAGACTCGCTGGACTGTGTCCTGGTTCTGGAAGCATCTAGTGCACATGCGCGCCAAACCATACTATGCTGAAGCAATCTACCTACAAACGCCAACGGAATCCTGGCAAGTTTAAAGCCTTAACTTGGGATTCTGGAACAGAGAAGGGACCACACAAAAGCTTCATGGAAAACCTGGGAATGATAAACCTGTCCTAGAGCAGAGCCAGGTGATTCTATGTGTTAGCTCAGCTGGTTAGACTGTAGTGCTAATAATGCCAAGGTCAAGGGTTCAGTCCTCTTATGGGCCACCTGCATATTCCTGCACTGCAATGGGTTGGACTAGATGACCCTCGGGTCCCTTCCAACTCTACAATTCCATGATTCTATTATCCTTTGCTAGAGGGTTGAAGGCGTCCCCCTTAAGAGTCCAGCCTGACGGAACAACTCTATATATACCAAAGCAGGCCATCTTCGCAAGAGTGGCACTGTCTTTTCATTGCTTTAGTCTAGTCCCATGGTCAACTGCAGATCAGGAAAACAAACAATGCATCCCAGTACAAGGGATTTAAAGTCTCTTGTTTTCAACTTGCAAAATGAAGCTGTGCGTTAAGATAGAGAGAATGATTTGTCGTTAATTCAAAGGGATCTGTTAAGACCGATATTGCAGATTTCGGTCTCAACAATGCCAGGAATTTTCCACACTAACACATTTTGGCCTGGCAAGAAGAGCTCCTTGGGTAAAACACTGAGGGACAATGCCAAGGTTTCCTTTACTGTATTTAATGACATGGGATTTACAAGAGAACCAAACTCTGGTTGTTCTGCTATTCCTGTTTGGTAGTAACTGGTGCTGACAGCAGCCATGAAGGGAATATTACTTCCCAGATAACAAGTGTTTGGTAAAGGAACTCTGCACACCCCCAGATGCCTTTGCAACAACTGGTCCACTTGGTTCAGGATTTGCTAGGCTTAGGAGGTGTTGCTTTTGTTTTGTTAACCATTTCGCCCAAAAAAATCCAGCACTGCCTTGCACAATGACTTGTCAGAATTTCCCCATAGTTGAGGCAGCTGTCCAGGGAACTAAAATGACAGCAGCACCCAACCAGCTTCTGTTTTAGGGAAAGGTTTGTACATCGGTGACAGAGAATCTGCTTTGCCTGCAAAGGATCCTGGGTACAATCCCTGGCATCTTCAGGTATAACTGGGGGGAAACCCTGACTGAAACCCTAGAGAGCTGCTGCCAGTCACTTCTGACATTACTGAACCAGAGAGACCCATAGTCTAGCTTGGTGTAAAGCAACTTCCTATGTTCCTTTCATTGACGCATCTATTGCTGAAACCAGCAGATAAAACAGGACGTCGAACAACCACAAAACCACTAGATTTTCCTATTGACTAAGCAAAAGTCCCTTCCCTCCCTTCCTCAGGACATGTTCATAGATAACTGGCTTTCTTACCTATTCTTTTGCCTTAAAAGCACTTCACATTCTGTCCTGTATGAACCTGAGCTGATTTCTGGGTACCTATGCAACCAGATCACATAAGGACCTGCTCCAGCCAGACTGTCCACACACCCCCACTCCCCTCAAAGGGCCAGCAGACCCACCTGTCCTTCAGGAACAGGTGCCCAAAATAGCTTTTCCGGTATTGGACAATGATCTCTAATGAGTTGCAAAAAATGTTTAAAATAACTTTCCCAAAAAGACCAGAGTCCTTTTTGTTGGGAATAATCGAGACTGAAATCCCTAAGTGTCAACAAAATTTATGTATGCAACAACGTTGGCCAGAGTTTTGTTAGCTCAAAAATGAAAAGTGAGGGAGGTCCCAGGCAAAGAGGACTGGAAACTTAAGATGGTAGAATATGCCAAGCTTGCAGGTTTAACATATAGAATAAGAGAGCAAGAAGAACATATATTCAAAGAAGAGTGGAAAATATTTATTGAGTATATGGAAAATAACTGTACACAGCTGAAAATGCTGGCAGCATTAAGATAAAATCAACAGTGTAATTAATGTTCAAGTGATGTTAAAGTGGAGAACTGACTAATATGGTTACAGCAACATACGCAGGAATGAAAGACTAATAAAACGAATCAAGGAAATAGAAGGAGTGAAGTCGTTTGATATTTAACAGTACGTAAAATGTTTATTTTAAGATGTAAAGTTGAAAACTTGATAAAAAATATTTTAAAAAACAAAACAAAACAGAATACATTTTCCTGGTAATACATTCTGGCCCAAAGAAGGGCCTTTCGTCTGATCCAGCAGGGCTCTTGTGTTGTTTTTTTAAAAAAAGCAACCACTAATGTTGCTTTAATAGATTTCTCCAGTTTGATCATTTCAGAGCTGAGCGATATGCATTTAATTTGGAATAAAACCTAAACTACACATGGGATCACTTCACATTTAAGATGGAGCAGGGAAGAGGAAATGCATTTGAATGCTCCCCAATGTAAAGAACTTCCTGTCTGCTGAAAGTCAGTGCACATCTGGGAAACGGATTCTGAATTAGCCTTTTTTCATTAATCTGCCATGTTTCTACATACATAATTTTATATATTTATCCCGCACCTCCAGTGCGAATTAGGAAGGCTGTGTCACATGAAGAGGAACACACACACACTCAGAAAAGTGAACCTTTCCAGGTGCTAGAAAGCTCTACCCTTCCTTAACAGTGCCAGGCTCACATGAATGCCCACCTGGCACCAGTGGCATGGTTCCCAGTCCCTACAAAAAAATTAGGACAGGGCTTATTCTTCTGCACGGACATTTCACTTTCTCCAGCAGCTGAGGAACAATGTCTGGATAATCCACAACAGTTCAATAAAGCACCATATATTTTATGCGCTCTCCCTCACCCACCCAAAATTAAAAGGCCATTGAAATCCTAAAACCATTTTACCAAAGGGTTAAAAACTGAAACACATTAAAAGCTACATTTTACTGCCTAAGCACTGGTTGCGAGAAAAAGCCACACAAACAACTTAATTGCTTAAATACTACCCCAAATAAATACATCCTTTCGCATGACGGACAGTATTAAAAACAAACTAATTCACTGCTGTAGCACTGCTAATTATAGCAACTTGGCTTGGAGTTCTGTCACTGCTTAATATAGTGGCTTCATCAGTAACACAGCATAGTTACCAGTGAGATTCCAAGCCCCCTTTCCAAGGAAGACAAGTCGTCTCTGCCATAAGCAGAGCAGTTCTGTATCAGCAAGCACCAGAATCAAGTTTTAAAAAACAAAGAGAGACCTTCAAACCAGAGGCCAGCAGCACACTGTTCAGTCAACTGAGCATTCCATTACACCTATCCACTCTCATATTAACTGCTTTTTGGAAATCAGTGAAAACTCCACCACAATCTCTACGACACAGGCAAATATGCTCAGGTCGGTCTAGGGAAATCACAGATCATATTTTCCCCCCTCCTAATATTGCAGCAATCAGCAGGGCAAAATCAGGAGGCGAAGCAGAACCAAGGCTCAATACTCTCGCAAGAGACCTGTGAGACCATAAAAGGAGGAAACAGCCATCACAAATTGTCTCATGCATGGCAGCCAGCACCGAAAAATTGTGATAGCGGGGGCTTGCACAGGGATGACAGTGGCAGAAAGCAGGTGGCACTGAGAGAATCTACAGGAATAATAATAATAATTTATCATTTGTACCCCACCCATCTGAGTCCCAAAGGATATTGAGCCCTCTCCTCCCACCCCAGTCTTTGGAATTCTATCTCCAGGGGGGCTTGCCTGGTGATTATTCTATTTTTCGTTTCAGTGCCAGGTTTCTCCATTTTTGCTGCTTTTATCCATTTTCTGTTGTTTTAGCATTTGGGACATAATTCATCTTTTTTACCCTGACAACTGCACAAGCAATATTCATAACTAACCAAACAGAGGGGAAGGCAACAGCAGACTGCCACAGTCTACCACTGAATAAGCTATATACAAAAGGAAAATGGGGGGTGGGGGGTCACTAACCTAGAGAGAAAATTTAAACTCAAAGTGGCCTTGGAGGGAAGTAATTTATCCAGGAGAGTCACAACAAGGGTCAACAGAGCATCACTGCAGCATCCGTCGATTGCCATGTTCTTACCAAATGACTGCCAGGGGTCTGAGGTGGAACTGCTAACTGTAGAGGGGGCCCATGGGTCAGCTTGGCTTGCTGCAGGTGGTGGCCCCCACGGCTCTCCTTTCTGAGGAGCTGGCACTGAAGAGGGCAGGGCATCCATCAGGTCCAGCAGAGTTCCGTGCTGCAGATGAAGAGGTTTATTTTTAGCAGGGGCACAACATCTCCAGTAGACACATAACTCATTTAGAGAGAGAGGGACAGAGAGATTGCAAGGAAAGAAAATGCATCATCTTGCTCTTTCACATGCCCTTAGCTGCTTATTTGGGCTTTTATCCCAGCGCCGGGGGCGGGGAATTACAACCATGCACTCTTTCACATGCTTACACAACTGGAGAGCACCCCATCCATTCCTAACTGCATAGCCAGTGCATCCGAACCTTCCCTGTGATGGCTAGGAATATTTTCACTGACCCAAGGCCTACCTCCTTCTTTTTGGGAATTTTCACTGTATCTCTGCGACTTTCCTCCAAAGCCATCTGCAATCTCAGATCATCGCCACGCCGAAGGCGCTCCTCCTGGAAAAAGAGGTCCCAGTGGGGAGGGGAAAAGATGAGAGTGGGAGTCATATAACAGTCATCCATTGTTACTTCATTCATGCCAGGTTTAAAAACAACGGGTCCTCTACGGGTGGAAGCCAAAGCTACACAAATCTTTTTAAAAGACAGCCTAATATAATTTAATTAACATTAGACACTGCCACCATGAGTTCTGTGATGAAAGGAAGACAGGATGGGAATGTAAGAAGATTTTTTTAAAAAAAAAACAAACAACAGACTATTCAAGAGGAAAAAAGAAAGATCTAATGTCGGAGGCGGTATGCCTCTGGACAACATTTGCTGGGAATCGCAAGTGGGGAACAGTGCTGTTGCTTGCAGGCTTCCCATGGGCATCTGGTTGGCCACTGTGACAACAGGATGGAGGATGGACTAGATAGACCTTTGCCCTGATCCATCAGCCAAGCTGTTCTTATGTTCTTATAGTTGTATGAGTCACTAAGTTTTAGCCAGCCAAAGTTAAGCAGCAGACTACTAGTCCAGCTAGAGGACAAAACTAGCTGGACACTAAGAACTTCTACATCTAAGAACAAACAGTAAAACCAAAAGCTCAGTCAAACCTTCCCTTGGCAGTAAAGACCAAAAAATCAAGAGAAAAGAGGTGAGCAAAAAGATTTATTTAGAGAGGGCATTGTAGCGTAGGGGCTACCATTAAGAAAGTCCCCCCCCCTTTCATTTCCCATGCTTGGTTCACCACCATCCTTCATTCACTGACAGAGCCTCTACCAACAAGCTAAGCACACTAAAGCTCAAATATCTAGTTAGGTAAATGCAGGAGCTATAAGAATCACAGAATCATAGAATTGTACAGATGGAAGGCGTCCCATAGGTCATTGAGTCCAACCCCTCATCCTGGAGGCCCCACATAACAACCGACATTTGCGCCCGTCTGCCTAGGACACGATAGCCAGTGTGGTTGCGGTGCTCCTGCTAGCTGAGGTAATGCTGGGTGGGGCTCGCAGCCCCCACTGGCCCAGAAGCTCCCGTGTATCAACAGGCAGTCGCTGCTGGAGCAGCCTGTGCTCTGGAGGATGGGGTGGGTGCTGCTGACAGCTGCACCACTCGGGAGTGGTGGGGTAGAGGGTGGCCCATTCTGCTCTCTGTACCCGGCTAGGTTCTCTGCCTTCCAGCCCTTCCTCCTTCAGGAAGGACAAGCTGCCCATGAAGCCTAGGCATGCACCCAGCATCTCATTTCTACGGTAGGTGGGGGGGGCACGTATTGGAGCCTCACCTGGGCATGTCCACCTGGGCCCTGAAAGCGCCTTTCTAATAACAGCCCCCAACCGTGGAATCCCCACCCCTGCCCACTCCTTGTGACACCAGGAAAAGAACTTCCAATTTCCCAAAGCCTTTTAAATAAAGCCGTGATTTCAATACTGTTTCGCTCTGTTCATTTTTATCCCCCTGCTCTCTGTTTTGAATTGGCCATGCTGTGCTTTTTTTTATCAATACATAAATACCAAAATGATCCAACTCCTCTTTCAAAACTTGTACCTTCCACTGACAAGCATTTACCATATTTTTTGCTCTATAAGACTCACTTTTTCCCTCCTAAAAAGTAAGGGGAAATGTGTGTGCGTCTTATGGAGCGAATGCAGGCTGCACAGCTATCCCAGAACCAGAACAGCAAGAGGGATCGCTGCTTTCACTGCGCAGCAATCCCTCTTGCTGTTCTGGCTTCTGAGATTCAGAATATTTTTTTTCTTGTTTTCCTACTCCAAAAACCTAGGTGCGTCTTATGGTCTGGTGCGTCTTATAGAGCGAAAAATACGGTACTTTCTTTTGAGGCTACGCACTTCGCCACCATCGGAGAGTTCCTGTTTTCAGTGCTCAAACTGGAAAACTGACTTGAGCGAGCACACCGTCCTGCAGTTCTAACACTCTGCTTCCCTACTAGATGGACTACTGTCGTTTCCGAAAGGAGAGTTCGCACATTTGGCGGCAGCTGTTGCTTCATAATACTGAACACATGCTGAATAACTGCTGCTGTCAGTTATCATGGATCACTGAAGCCAGGAGGCAACTTTTCTTGGCAAATTTCTCAAATTACTTTGAGCTGCTTGATAAGGAAAGGGACCATCAATCCCTACATGCTGTCTCCTCTCCACCACCTGGTATGGAATTCTTAATGTAGGCCAATAAGTATACACTAACACTTACAAAACTACAAGAGAAACTAACCTGTTCTGCAACTTCTCTGCTCATTGCCAGGGCCAGCTGCAGCTGCAGCTCTTCCTCCCCGCTCGTCTGAGGCCGCGCCTGCTCCAACTCTGAAGACACTCGAGGTGATGTAGCTATTTGGAGAAAACAAAAGGCACAAGCCCAACTCGATTTTAGCAAGTATGTTTCAGCAAATTCCTATTAGTCATCCTGAGAACCAACTGTTCTAGATTATACACAGCTGGGCCACAGGTTTATGATATTTTTGCCCCACCTTTTGACCATAAGGTCCCCAAATCAAAACATTAAGCACAATCAAAGTCCAAATCGTGTAAGAATCCATTTACATCTAGCAAGATCAGTAAGGTGCTCTGAACTGCCTGGGGGGAAAGTAACCCTGGCATCTAAACCACCAACATTTATTGCCACTCATCTCAGGGGGGTGGAGCAATGAAGAAACACACACACACACACACACACACACACACACACACAAGCTCTTCCTTAAAGAGCTCCTTCAAGATCTGCCTCTAATAACATGTTTTTCATGGAATCATAGAATTGTAGTAGAGTTTGAAGGGACCACGAGGGCCTGCTCTCAAAAGTTACAGGCCCAGAGAAAATACTGCAAGTTCCACAAGCCGATGTTTCCCATTTGACATAACTGAATGTACACAGCTGGGGAGATGCTGATGAGGGAGGAATCTACAAGAGAGTGCAGCAATTTCAACATATAATACTATGGTGGCTGCAGGCACTACGTTCCCACCAGCCTAAGTTTTTAAGAGCTAGTAAAGGTAAAGGGACCCCTGACCATTAGGTCCAGTCGTGGCCGACTCTGGGGCTGCAGCGCTCATCTCGCTTTATTGGCTGAGGAAGCCAGTGTACAGCTTCCGGGTCATGTGGCCAGCATGACTAAGCCGCTTCTGGCAAACCAGAGCAGCACACTGAAACGCCGTTTACCTTCCCACCGGAGCGGAACCTATTTATCTACTTGCACTTTGACGTGCTTTTGAACTGCTAGGTTGGCAGGAGCAGGGACCGAGCAACGGGAGCTCACCCCGTCGCGGGGATTCGAACTGCCAACCTTCTGATCAGCAAGTCCTAGGCTCTGTGGTTTAACCCACAGCGCCACCCATGTTTAAGAGCTACTGCCCCTCTAATTCACTGCATAAGTGTGGAGGTGGATATTTTTCCATCTAGTTAAAGCTTCTGGGGAGTCATTGGCGATCAGAGTCACCAGCCTCTGGAGTTACTTTTGGGATGTCAAATTTGCTGTGTTGCCTTTGCTCATTATCTTTTAGGGAGGAAAGCAGAATAAATCTGCCAAGGCAGAGGCCTTTCCCCCTCTTGCCTCTTCTGGCGCTCTGCTACCTAGCGACCGTGAGGAGAAGCCAATGTGAGGATGATCATGCTCTTTCTTGGCTCAGGACATGGGGCTACTGCTGAGAGGAGGGTGTCTCTATTGCAAGAGGGAGGGCTACCTGAAGGTCCCTATGAGAATTATGCCTTCTCCTTTGGGGCTAGAATCGAAATCTGAGCAAGTAGGGAGCTCTTGTCTAGGACAAATGTGGGACTTCTGGCTGGAAATTTTAGTTTGCATGTATATTGTGAACTGAACCATTGCATTGTATGGGGAAGGCAGGTTATTTATTACATATATATCCCACTTTTCCTCCAAGGAGCTCAAGTAACATACCTCCAAGGAAGGAGAGTCCACCACCTCTCATGGGAGCCTGTTTGTCCCACTGCCGAACAGCTCTTACTGTCAGAAAGCTCTTCCTGATGTTTAGTAGGAATCTCCTTTCTTGAAACTTGAATCCACTGGTTTGGATCCTATCCTCCGGAGCAGGAGAAAACAAGTTTGCTCCATCCTCCATGTGACAGCCCTTCAGATATTTGAAGATGGCTATCATATCTCCTTTCAGTCTCCTCTTTACTAGGCTAAACATACCCAACTCCCTCAACTGTCCCTCCTCAGCCTTGGTTTCCAGACCCTTTATCATCTTGGTTGCCCTACTCTTCACACATTGCAGCTTGTCAATATCCTTCTTAAATTGTGATGTCCAGAAGTGGACACAGTACTCCAGATGTGGTCTGACCAAACCCAACCAGTGGCTACTGTCGCTGGCCAGGGGCTGCTTCCCCAGTTGCCAGGAGGCCGAGTCGCCAGCCACTAAAGCTATGCAGCGCTTAGCTCCACGATTGGCCTCCTCTTCCTCCTCCTGCTGCTCCCATCAACCTCAGCATGTATGGGCAACGATCTGGGACAATGGGAGTTGTAGTTGACCTAGAAGGCACCAGTGCCATTTTGGATCCCTCGAGCTGGACAGCATTTTCCAATATACCAGCATGCAAGCTATGCCAAAGCACTGTCTTCCATGCTAGAACTCCCCACTCCAAATGACACAGACACCTATCATACAGCTAGCCGACTATTTCACTCCACAAGGCACTTCTCATTGAGCTACAAAACAATACTCAACATTTTGGTGTACCAGCTGTGACCAACACTCTCAATTTGGAAAAAGGCTTCAGTTCTATGCTTACCTCCAAGGACTAAGTTCCACTGAGCTTGCCTCTGAGCAAATATGCATTGGATTATACTGAAAGACACTCTGCTTCATCACACCACAGCTTTCTGTATTCAGTTACCTTTTCAAGCCACTTTAAAGCTTCTTCTGCTCAATGGTTCTGACCGATTTAAATTCTTGACTGTGTTTCATATTAAGACATACTGATTAAACCAAATCAGTTTTCATTAAATTTTATGAGGGGAGCGATAAATTCCATCTACACAATGAAGTGTCCTGTCATCACATGTTTCATGCAAGATTTAAATCAATGAATGAAGCTAGTGTTGTCATTAAGATTTCAGTACTGACATTCCACACACACACACCCCCGACACACACACTTATCCAGTCTTTTAATTTCTAGAATTACCAAAAGATCTGTGCGTTATCAGCAAAATGCTTGATTTGCAAGGCTCTAGCATAAAGGGTATTGCCTTAGCAAGACAAAGAGATTCTTATTCCACAGCACATGATAGTTAAATCAGACGTTTATGCAAGATGGCACTGAATAGATCCAATTTTGACATCCTAAGCCCTGCTTTGTTACTGCTTTGAGAATTTTTGAGATTAAAGCTTCTCAGACCACATGAGAATCACTGAAGGATGTTTCCTCTTACATAAAAATGCCCTATGTTGCCTTGTGGAATAAACCCCAGGCTACAGTAAAGGGACAATATTCCCAATTTTGGCAGTCATTAAAAACCAAATTCTCCTCTGTCCCTGAGATTAGCAATAATGTTTCATACATTTTTCCTAGATGTTTTTCTATATTTTTGCTGGATTTCAGCCATTATTATTATTATTATTATTATTATTATTAAATATTTCTGTATCTTGCCATTCTCCTATGCTGGGGTTTGAAGCCGCTTACAACAGTAAAAAAACAACAACCCAACATTATAAAATATAAAAAACAAACTAGTTAAAAGTAATAATTCAAATATATCAGAACGCATTTGGAACCAGCATCAAAAACCCTGTTGGCCTTTATGCCTGCACCTTAGTTTCCAAAGGTTTACCTGAACAGGAAAGTCTTAGCCTACCCAGCAAAAGGATAACAAACAGAGAGGGAGACAGTTTAAACCATGGGTAGCCAAACTAAGGCCCGGGAGCCGGAGCCGGCTCAATTGCCTTCTATATCCGGCCCGCGGACGATCCAGGAATCAGCGTGCTTTTTACATGAGTAGAATGTGTACTTCTATTTAAAATGCATCTCTGGGTTATTTGTGGGGCCTGCCTGGTGTTTTTACATGGGTAGAATGTGTGCTTTTATTTAAAATTCATCTCTGGGTTATTTGTGGGACATAGGAATTCGGTCTTTTTTTCTTTTCTTTCCAAAATATAGTCCGGCCCCACACAAGGTCTGAGGAACAGTGGACCAGACCCCTGCTGAAAAAGTTTGCTGACCCCTGGTTTAAACTCTCTTGGGAGGGATTTGCACAATCTATGAGCAGCTACAGAAAATGGCTCCCAGCAAGACCCACCTGACACAGCCATTTACCGGTACTTCCTTTTAGCACCAGACATACCTCATCTTCCTGGATTTGGGGGGATAATCACAATCATGCTCCTTTTTTCTGTGTGTGCATGCACACATGCATGTGCATTTGGGGTATTGCTGACAGTTAAACTTGACAGTTGTCTATTTATTGTGTATGTAAACTGCCTAGAGAAGTTCTGCATTTGGTGATAAATAAATCAGATATATGATAATGATGTGTGGGGGGGGGGGGAGTTCACACTGACACTGGTCCAACAAGTTCCATCCCAGAGACCAAGTGAAGCAGCTCCACTCCACTCTGACCCTGGAGTAACACTGAAGCAGAGGTGACTTTGAGTAAGACAGGTAGTGGTGACTGATCACCCCACAGCTTTCAAGTTCTGCAGTCACATAATCCATGAATGTAATCAAATGAAAGCAGCAAAAAGACAGCTCGGATGGAGCCCATATGGGGTTCAATTGTGATTTTAATACAGTTTGAAGTAAGGAGGGGGATATGCAAAGAAGAAAAATCATGCATATATTTAGAGTTCTTGCCTCCGGCCCCTTTGCCCCCGAAGCTCCTTGTAGCTTGCTTGGGCTTCTTGCATTCACACTGCAGGTAGCCCTTTCCCCCCCACACTTGAAACATCGTAGGGCTTTCAAAGCAACAGCCCCACCTTTGGGGGTGGGGGGAAGGAGTAAAGAAACATGGTAACTTTTCCCTACCCTCTACTACACAGCAGGATATTAAATAAGGGTAAACTACCAAATACATTACCCTTTCCAAACAAGCAATATTCCAACAGCAACACTATATCTATCCTTCGTTTTAGTTCTTTGATTGGGGATTAGTTTCTGGAAAGAACAGGTATCAGTTTTCATCCCAAATTAATTGACTGGAATGCATGTGAATGAAGGCCAGTATGGGAAGAGCAAACAAAGGGGAAGAGGGAGTTCCAGAAAGGCTATCAGTTTTCACTATTTAGGAGTGCGCTCGCACACACGTGTGTGCACACGCTCACACTTCAGAAGCTGGACAGGAAAAACATAAAGCACTTTTTTTTAAAAAAAGGCACCATGATACTAAAGCCAAATAATGAGACCTGGTAACGAGTAATGAATATTAGCGACACAAGACCTTTCCAGCAAATGAAGGGAGTTGGGGAACCTAGATGTTACATTCACGTCAGGCAAAAAGCATCAAACTCCAAGCATACATAACCACTGATTTTCAAGCACCCGTAACTACCCACAAACAAAACAGTTAATAATCACAGAACAGTTGAGAATAAGAACAAAAAGAGTCTTGTCACTCTTTTAAAACTAACACATTTTTATGGAATACTTTTTTTTACTTAATCGGTTGTATGAATATTCAACAGAAAAAAGTTTATAATATTATCACGCATGGTGGGAAATAAATGTCTAATAACATTAAAAACTACAAGATCAGTGAAGTTATAGGACTGACGACATACATATTGCTCTGTGTCCCTCCAGAAGTCTGCTTAGTAACAGGCGGCTTTTTAGTAGTCTGCTAAAAGACCAGTAGCATGCATCCTCATTGTGTTTCTTACATAGCCAGCATAGAAACACAAGCTACAACCCTCTCAGCAGACCAGTAATTTTTTTATTTAAGGCTAGTTGCTTTGGATGACCTATTTACAAGGCTGGACTAACATGCAATTAGATGACAAAAGGGCCACTGACTCAGGTAGCTTCCTCTGCACCCCAAAGCATCAGACCAACTCATGGAGGATCACGCTATCAATAGCTACTAGCCTTGACAGCCATGCAGTATTTGTAAATATTTCAGAACATTACAACTGAATAGTGAACACTTCCCTTAGCATTACATTTTAAGAAGCAGTGGCAATGTGAACTGTTAATTCGCTAAGTTTTGCATAAAGACCTGTGTACAAATATATATGGCCTAGTTCACCCATAACACGGTCCCCATTTCTCCTACTGCCACAATAACACTAAGCTAAGTCATGATTTGCTTAGATGTTATGTCTGACCCTGGACTCATGGTTTGTCTCTTGAAACAAGCCACAAGCTGTAGCCAAGGTTTGTTCTTGGCTTACCGTTCTTGGCTTACCATCCAGAATTCATTTGGGAGAGATAAACCATCAGCCCAGGTTCACACAAAGCACTAAGCCAAACCATAGCTTGGCTCCAGTAGTGATGCAGCAGCAAGACTAGGAAAGGAGTGAAGCAGATATTATTTTTGCTCTGGGTACCCACATGCTTCTTTGTTTATGCTGATCTCATTTACTGGGCCTATTAGATGTGTTTCCTAAGGATAGTCACCTGGGGAAAGTTAATTACAACAGTGATATTTAAAAAACGGTATTCCAGTTGCCCATTTTCACTTCTACTGTGTTCATTCACTATGTTACTAGTAAATTTTATGTAACAGCCATCTCCAACAGTGATAAATTTTCACAAAGTGATACAGTAGCATAGTTTTTCTAGTACAACACCTATTCTCAGTCTCCTTCTATCAAGATAATTGAGGGCTCTGTCATGGTAAGTATAGTTCTGGCTCTTTTTTTAAGTGCTCCACCCAAAAACATGTGATACAGGGCACTGTGCAGTTTTACCAGTAAAACACATCGAGTTACAACCCGCACAGCCTCCAAATTAAGAGGCTCTTTTGCTTCACACGTACCCATCTCAACTGGCTAACTGCACACACCTCACAGGTTCTACACAATTGGCTTGAAAATCCACATTTCCTTTGATGTACCCACCAATCAGAAGAGAGAACAGAAGCCCCTCAATCAAGCATACAGCTTGTTGTTGTTTTTATAATGTACTTTTTAAAAAATTGTTTAATGTATCCTTTTATAACTGTAGGTTGCTTTTGAGACATTTGGGTAGCAAGTGACAAATAAATGTATTACGAAAATACTTACACCCGTGATAAGAGGCTGGAGAGCCTCCTGATTTGCCATATTCTTGCTCCGAGTAGCTGGTGGAGAGATTAGGCTGGCTGGAGCCTCTGCCAAAGGTGATCTGATTACTACCAACCCCAGTGGCCACCTGTGCCATACGCTCTTTGGTCTTCAGGGCTTGGGCCCTCTCTGTCTTGAGCCGATCGTCATCTTTCAGGAGGGACACCAACTGCTTGGACTTCTCCCGCACATTGATGCCCTGGTCCTTACCATCCCGGTCAATGTACTGGAAATCCTTCAGAGTCTGGATAGCAAAGATGTTCTCTTTGCACTGTTGTGCCACCCTTTCCGACCCAGTTTTAATCAGGTAATCCAAAAGAGTTAAAGCCTTATAAACATGCCTCCAGTTTTTGCCATGGTCATTCAGCCGCTTCCAGATCATGCTCATGATTTCAGAAAAGGCCACCACATTGTATGTTAGATCTGCTATTTCGGTCATTAAGGAGCTCGATGGGCCCCAGGGGTCATTTGAAGTCGCTTCCCGAACTTTTATTTCAGCCTCTGAATAATTGTTCACAATGTTTTTCATTTGTCTCCTAATCGAAGAAGATGTCATTTTTATCTCCTCCTAAATCAAGGCAGGTTCCCCCCAAAAAGACCTCAGAGACCGGCCACAGTTTTCTCCAATTTTCAAGTCCCTGTGATATGAAGACACGATGTGTGTGACCAACTTGGAGCAAGTTCTGGTAAAGTCATTTCCTCCCCTCACGAAAGGTACAAAAGAAACTGGAAACTCTGACCTAAAAAAGAAACACAGAAAACTATCAGTTGCCATTTTAATTGTTCGCTTACATTTAAAAAAGCTAGCCAAAGCAAACATTCAGATTTTCCCTGACCTGTCACCAAAAGGTAATTTTCTTATTCTAGAACTACAGAACAAAATTATTACACCACAGATAGGATTTCCCTCACGAACCAATTTCATAAGCAATCTGTATATGAAATCCAGACACAGGCAAAACAACCCTAGTTGCAGAATAAAGTGCCAGGAGAGAAGAAGGGAGTGAAGATGAAAGTGAACATTGTGACACTGGACTTCTGGTTTGAAGCAAGTTCTGCTGAAATTACTTCCTTCCCTTTAAGTACACAACAAATTTAAGACAGTCCATCCTATTGGAGGCACAGCATCCACCAGAAAGGAATCAACTTAGGGCTCAAAGCCCTGTTGCCATCACACACACACACACACACACACACACACAAATACAAAAGCTCCCAGCCATTATCAGCAGTTCTTGCACACCTCACTTCCATTATCCAGTTCTCTCACACACCCAAGGACATTATAAGTCAAGAGCACTACGCTTTTGTCAAGATGCTACTTGACCAGGGTAGGGGAGTCACAAAGTGAGTCAGAAAACAATGCACACTAAGATGTTTTCATTATAACTGTGCATTAAATAAATTAATCTAGCAGATTACCGCAAAGTCACTAAACAAACTTGCAAACTCAGCAAAAGTAGAGGCCCCCACACAGCAAATGAACTTGCAACTGCAGCAGGAAACCAAATTAAATTTCATGCAGCAGCTGCTGGTTGAAAATACCAGAACAGGAACACCCACACGAGCTGCCTTTTCAGAGGCAGAGAGCTGCTAGAACAGTTGTAGTAGCCTGTCAGTTTATTGTCAAAGAGCACTCTCTCGGTCTCTCTCAGTCTTCTGACTTATTCGTGCAACTGGAGTGCTATCCGCAGTTAAGTTCAACTGATGCCTGCAATGTTGTCACTGGTTTTGTCAGACAGGCCTCAACAATTTTGCCTTCCCGTGGCTTCATCAGTGGCACAGTTTAGTTGCATCGCCGTCCACATCCTGGCTTGTGACTTGCATGACAGGAGGGGCTGCTGAAAACTAAGGAAGCTAGAGAAATTTGCAGTCAAATCCTACCACCAAAACTGCACTGAACTCTATGATCCCTTTACTACTGTGGTTTTCAGATATTCCACCATTCCCTAAAATGTCTGGGGTACAAAAAAATTAAAATGTCAGATGAAGCTGGCCAAAATGATGGGAGTCCATCAACATCTGCTGAGCCACAGGTTAGCAACTCCTGCTCTAGACAATTCAGGCACCCCCAAAAGACCTTTATAACACAATTAATGCATATGCTCCCAACTATTAATTAAGGTTCCTGCCTCAGACAGCTTCCTATTCAAATGTACTAGGCACTCTACCTCTAAGGAGAAGTTGTTTACGTTTTAAAACTGGCATTAGAGCGTCATTCTCCACCACCACAAGCCTAGTTCCAGAAGTGAGCCTGCTCAGGAAAATTTATATTGCATTGCATTGTATTGTATTGTATTGTATTGTATTGTATTGTATTGTATTGTATTGTATTGTATTGTATTGTATTGTAACACAGAGAGTATATATACAGCCACAGTTCTAGAATACATTCTAGAATGTATTTACACTACACAACTTAGTCTCTATATCAATCTAAATCTCATAGATGATAATACCAGTTCAGGAAAGATCTTAAAAACAGTGGCTCCCATGGAAGTAAGGTGAGTTTCATTACCATCCCATATACCAGTTCAAGGGGTGGGGGGACTCCCACTTGCCTTATGACTAAACCAGCCCAATTTGGTCCACAAAGAGGTACACAAAAGGGGATGCAGAGTTGAAATGACTTTTCAAGGTTTCAGAAGCTTTTACACACACACACCAACCAAGATAGCATTCAAGCTTTTAATCAAGTAACTGCAGGTGTTTTTCCCATCTCTGAGTGCTTGTGGGAAAGTGATGTGAATGTATTATGGTCAGCTGCATAGCCTACTAACCTATGAACTCTGTAACCTGATTTAGCGACCTGCAGCACAAAATATGCTTATAAACACTGTCACAGGCATCTAGCATCACATGAAGTGATGCAAATGATCTGATGCCCAGAGCTCTTCTGTGAATCAAGTTGACCCCTTTTGCCTCATCAAGAATGTGATTCCTGCAAACTGTCAGGGGGTGGGGGCAGTGAGAGAGAGAAACAGATCTGCTTAATAAGTTCACTTGCCAAAGGCAGAGACTTCCTAGATTTTTGCTACTTCCAAGTCCTCTTGAAATTGGTGGGAGCTGAGGACTTGGCCCTTAATTCTGAACAAACATGGTGAGAATTGGGCTTACAACCTTGCTACACCAAAGCATATAATAAAAGCCTGCTTCTTTGCCTCATGGTGGCATAGGGAGTGGGTGATTTCTACCAGGGAAACAGCAGGAGAAAAAGGGCTGAGCTCTTCCTCCTTCCACCACGCCTCTGCTCAAAATTGCCCCTTTCTCATGAAGCCTTGTAGCAAAGAACTGGGCTGTTTCTCTTTTTATTACAAACATCCATCTGCAACATTTAATTAGATCCTTAATGATAAGTATGTACGGTAAGTGAATGAACAAATTGCTTTGGGTACCAATTGCGCTGCCTAAGAACACATGCTTTAAAAGTATTTCAAAGACTTGTTTCGAAAACTAAACAGGGGAAAACAGAACTGTTCTGTATGATGCTGCAGAGAAGTGTGCATTAAAAGAAGCCATGAAGCTGGGCACAATGCATAAAAGGCCACATGCAGAACACATATTAGGTCTCCTGCACCATTGTGCAGAAGAGAAAAAGCAGCAATCCATGTGAATAGAGCAGCATGGAGTGCTGGAACAGCCCCACACACGCTGTCTCACTCTCACACAGGCTATTTAAACACAAAGTTATTCAGAGATGGGGTCAAACTAGGGTTTGGGAAGCAAGCTTTCGTTCAGGAAGGGGGCAGGAACCAGAACTACTCTTCTGAAGTCTACACACTGGTCTTCTTCAAACCCCCAATCTGTGAAAGGGTGACGGCAGCCTTCAAACACTAAACTTATGGAAGTTTTCCATTTCCTCTTTCACCATTCAAACACTATGCCTGGTTACTGAGAAAAGTAGGCAGGTGGCAAGAGGCAAATAACGTTAATTGTCTAAGGGGCTCGTTTCTCCAAGATAAAAGTGTATTCATAGTCTAAAGTATTAGGGGAGAGGGAGTTAAAAGACATTTCCCAGTAGCAGGTTAAAAAAAGAAAGATCCCAAATATTGGAATTTAACTCTTGAATAAGAGTTTGTGGGCGAAGTAGGGACTATGCCAACCTTCCCCAACCTGATGCCCTCCAAATGTTGTTGGATTCCAAATCCTATCAGCCACTTCCAACGTTGTCAACGGTCAGGAATAGTGGGATTTTAAGCTGGTCACATCTGGTGGGCACTAGACGGAGGAAATATACCAAAGATCTCTTATCAGAGTGCTGAAAATTTACCCCCATAATCTTATCTGGTTTGTTTTTGTAAAATAAGTCTACTTTTGCCACAATGAAATCTATAGGAGGAAATACAACTGGCCTACCTCACATGGTAATAACATTCAAGAAAGTGTATGCGATGTGCTCTGAACACTTAAGAAGTGTTGTTATATTATTTGTCATGTTATCTCACACCACTTTTGCATGGAATTTAATGTGGTGCACATAGAATTCCCAGGTGGTTCCCCATTGAGGCACCAAACAGATATAGATCCATCAAGCTTCAACAAGGTTCACAGGACCCTGCTCTGGGACCTATGAGCTGCAGATTATGAACATGAGTATTACAAGAGTTGAGGCTTTTGTCCTTAATTTAAGTAAGGCACCCCCAAAAGATTCCTCATTCAGCCGTCAGAAGTATTAACAGGGCAGGGACAGGAAGGATAACAGGAAACCTGACGCAGCAAGATGCTGTGTCAATGAAGTCGTCTGGATAAAAAAAGAAAAACACCGCAAACAAAAACCACATATTATTAGTCATTCTGAGCAAAGAAAGGATGAAACTGTAGAGTTAGTAAAATAGTGGAGAAATTCTGTTACATCACCATATAATCAACTTGCTGTTGAAAGCATAGAGGGAGAGAAGACTAGGGACACACCTGCCCTGATCATCTGACATTTAATTGAAGGTTGACATTCTCCAGGTTTCTCTGCAGATGCAAAGAGGCCACATTCTAGCTCCTGGTAGCTCTATGGTGAAAGACTTGTACCCTTTGCATCAGGAAATAGAGCAGAACACCAGTTCAGTTTTAGACTGGCAGTGCACATAAGCTCTAGAACCAACATAGTCAAAGCATATCATCACCCAAGGATGTGATACTCACAAAGACTACACTGTGTTCATTTCAAAACAGAACTTGACCAGTCAGACATAGCTTGACCAGTCAGAGAGTTATTTGAGTTCATAACAAATAAAAACTTGACATATTTTTCTTCTTTCTTTCTTGGCTGGGGGTCAGAATACCTCAAAGATATCAAAAAATAATGTTTAGATGTTTTTGTATGTATGTGTTGCCTCTTGACAAATTTCAAAGCAGTGGGAATTACAAAGAACAAGTAGTATTTATAAACATTATTCTCTGGCAGAAGTAACAACCAAAGTGGGGTATACAATATGCAGTTGTACAATATTCACACACGCCAGCCAGCCTTTAGAACACTATGCTGCTGTCACCAGAAGCCTACAGCACTTTTGCATTCATGTGTGTCTAAACTCCAGGGAGAGCTACTCCAATAACTTGCGATTACTCTCTGAATTACCAGCACCAGAAGATCACTTCACCTTCTACACAAAAAACGGATAACCCAGCAGGTCCCAGGGGTGTTAAACTTCTACAAATCATTAATGAAAACTGCAGTCTTCGGCAAGGGACAGAACTAAGTGTAAAACAAGCCATGCCCCACCCCACCCCCCAATTTATTTCCTAATTATTCAACATCTGGAGAAAACCAAAACCTTTGCCCTGCTTTCCATTTACCGTATTTTTTGCCCTATAGGACGCACCGGCCCATAGGACGCACCTAGTTTTTTGGGGGGGAAATCAAGGGGGAAAAAATTATTTCCCCCCCCCCAGGTTTGTGCAGCCATCCCCAAGCTAGAAGAGGGAGACGGAGCGCTCCGTCTCCCTCTTCTGCCTTCAGGGACAGCCTCTCTAGCCTCCGTGGGGCAGCGGCTTGCCCCACTGTCCCCCGAGCTTGTGGGGCTGGCGATGGGAAGAAGCAAGCTTGCTTCTCCCCCCCGCCAGCCTCCAGATCAGGTCGGGGAATAGCGGGGTGGCGGCGCTCCGCCTTCCCACTATCCCCCGAGCTTGTGGGGCTGGCGGGGGGGAGAAGCAAGCTTGCTTCTCTCCCCCGCCAGCCTCCAGATCAGGTCGGGGAATAGCGGGGTGGCGGCGCTCCGCCTCCCCGCTATCCCCCGAGCTTGTGGGGCTGGAGCGGGGGAGAAGCAAGCTTGCTTCTCCCCTCCACCAGCCTCCAGATCAGGTCGGGGAATAGCGGGGTGGCGGCGCTGCGCCTCCCCGCTGTCCCCCGAGCTTGTGGGCTGCAGGCAGTGCGCACCGAGCTTGTGGGGTGCGCACCGACCCCTCTCGCTCTCCAGGCTTCAGCGAAAGCCTGCATTTGCCCCATAGGACACACACACATTTCCCCTTCATTTTTGGAGGGGGAAAAGTGCGTCCTATAGGGCAAAAAATACGGTATCTACATATCAGGTCCATTTCAATATGCCCATAGTTAACAAACATTTATTTATGGAAATGAGTGCTAGCATGGACAGACCACTGCATAACACTTCCTAACAGGGTTAACAGATTCAGCACCGAAACAAGTTTGTATGTTTTGGTACTTCATGAGAGTTGTCAAAAGCTTTTAGTTTGAATTACACTCAGTTCCATTTCTACTAGGTATTTAAAAAAAAAAAAAACCTGCAGAAGCAGATTACAAAATCAGATACTATTCTTAAAAACTGTTTTTTAAAAAAAGAAAAGAAAGAAAGAAAGCTTACATTCTGAATGTATTCAGCAGATGTTTTTGAATGCAACTAAGATAACTCTAGTCTTACTTGCTTCAAGCTTCAGCTCTCTTCAGCATTCAGCTGCACATCTTGTAAGTCATTTCAAGCCCCACTTTAAATATTTAAAAATATGAATTAGGTGGATTAAAAAATATTAATTTTAAAAATAAACTAGATGGACACTCATTGGGTACGAAACTATTGTCTACCAAGTAAAGCGTAGCCATGTTCTTCAAATCTATACGGGGGGGGGTCAGAAATTCAACAGCAGCAGCAATATATAACATTTGGAGCACTGTTAGGATTTCATGATTTCCAGGCTGTATTTTGGGATGAAAGCCACTTAGTAAAACCATCTTGCAGCAGCAATTGTCTTTGCCACAACAAGACAAAGTCAAATTAGGAGGAATAGCACAGCACAGAGACAGAAAAAATCAAGTGCCTCAAATAATTTTTACTTCCTAGTTTACTGGCCTGCAAAGCGGGCAGCAGCAGAGTCCTGGAAAGGCAGTCAGGTGCAAGCCTGAGTATGTAACAGCAGTTGGACCCAACATATCCCCCACATTCCACAAGCTGGCCATTTATGACCAAAAAATTTTGCTAAATTTCATCACAATATACCAGCATTTTATTGGTGCCAGAATGGCTTTGTCATTGCTTTCTGAACCCATCCTCCCATACATCCTCCCTATTTATACTCTGCTCCATCTATTTACTGTTCACTGACATTTCACACAAGTGGGTGTTCACTTGCTCTTATACTGGAGGGGAACAATGTTTCCACAAAGCCTCTGCTGTCTGTTCCTTTGCCGAATGCTACTTTCTGTAAATTGGCTCCAGGAGAAAGTGTACATTCCCTTCTTCTCAGACATGCTCCTTTGCAAACAGCTTTGCAAATATCCTTCTCGCTCTGGATACAAGTTAACCTAAGATTTTACAAGCATGAAGCAGCATTGGGGTTAGGCAAGGTAGGGGCAGTGCTACCTGCACTAACTGGGAGGGAGTATGACAGCATTCAAAGAGCACCGTAACTTGCAAAAGGCGGCAATCATACTCCTTATCATAGAGTCATGATAAAATTTCTGCAACAGGGAAGACTTAGGCCACTGTTCCTGAATCTGGTGCCCTCCAGATGGTGCTGGACTACAACTCCCAGCATCCCTGTCCCTCAGCCATGCTGCCTGGAGGAAGCAGTAGTCCAACACATCTGGAGAGCACCAGGTTGGAGAAGGCTGAGTTAGGCATTTTCATGAACAAGGCCTTTGGGCTTGACGTTGAGAAGAGCTACTTTAAGTCTCTTGCACACGAAAAATCTTTAGCGTACTTTCAATCTTGCTCGGAAGGAGCAGCCTTCGCTAAGGGAAAGATTTTTGCAATTCATCATTCTTAACTGCTCTAACCTCCCTGACAACTGCACTTAACAAAGAGGCTCTTTGCCATCTGTTTAAGTGCCTAAAACAGAATGCCTGTGTTGAGAGTCACCTTCAACACTTCCAACTTAACACTATTAATTCAATTAAGACCAGACACTCCAAGAAAGAGACAATGCTACAGATGCACATCAAGACTTTATGGCAAAAATGATGGACAGCAGGAAGGCAAGGAAACATTAGTAAAGGTAAAGGGCCCCATGACCATTATGTCCAGTCGTGGATGATTCTGGGGTTGCGGCGCTCATCTTGCTTTATTGGCTGAGGGACCCGGCGTACAGCTTCCAGGTCACCTGGCCAGCATGACTAAGCCATTTCTGGCGAACCAGAGCAGCGCACGGAAACGCTGTTTAGCTTCCCGCCAGAGCGGTACCTATTTATCTACTTGCACTTTGACGTGCTTTCGAACTGCTAGGTTGGCAGGAGCAGGGACCGAGCAACGGGAGCTCACCCCGTTGCAGGGATTCGAACCGCTGACCTTCTGATCAGCAAGCCCTAGGCTCTGAGGTTTAACCCACAGTGCCACCCTCGTCCCTCCAAGGAAACATTACATCTCAGCAAAAGACTGGAAATAACGGTGAGTCCCAAACACAGATGAAGTTCTTTCATTGTCTACTCCAAATGCAATGCTACCTCAGTGTTGCTAAGTAATGGCTTGTAAATTTACAATTTGAACTTAACTTTTACCCATTGCAATGCAGGAAACTGCAGCTACCAATATTCAGCAGGTTAGCAGATACAGCTATTGTACACAGGCTGTAGGTGATGAAGAATTCATTCCTTTGTTAAAGAATTGAGGAATTATAGTACCAAAGAAAGTATACTTGACACTTAGTCAACTGCAAACATACCAGCCAAACATACCCGCTCATAATGACTCTTTGTTTGATGTTACTGGAAAGGGGTGCTCCAAAGCTAAAAGGCACAAACTTAGATGCACTTTATTCCGTTAACAAAAATTCTGATTCTTATCAAGATGTTTCAAAGCTCACTCAAAAATCACAAGCAATATGCTCACTGACAGACGTACAATGCCACAGTTTGCATTCTGTAACAGAAAACATTTCAGAGCAGATGTCGTGTTCATGCTTCCAAGTTGTTATTATGAACAGAACATTTTGAAACTGAAATACCTGCAAACAAGTCCTCTTAAGGGTCACAAGAACTGGCAATGTGTAAGATTCGCTGGTTTATTCAAAGACTCCCAATAAGTAGAGGCAGGGGACAACAACAAAGTATAGGACAGCAAGAACGACCTGTTTTGTTTCACAGGTTTACAAACAGTTTCTGCAAAGCTCTTAAAAATAAGCTGCATACTGAAAGAGAGTCATGTTAATTGAAGTATTTAAGTCAGCAGGATACTTGTTCAATTTCAACACCCTGCCTACTCGCATCAGAAGCATCAGGCATAGTTAAAAGAGCAAAAAGTTGCAAAAGCCAACCACCTTAGGATTTCTTGTTTACCCATGAAAACATTATTTAATCATGGCTTTGGAGAGCTGATTATTTCAGTTCATGAATCCTGACAATTCACAAAAAGCAATTTTTTTAACCTTCAACCTAATTTAAAAAGAAAAATTACCATAGCCTTCAACACCGCTGAGGGAATAACACACCAAATAAACATGGACAACATTGCAAAATAAAGGCATTCCAAAATGTAAGTCTAATTTTCCCTATAAAAGAAACAGGAATTGCTTCAAGAAGCTTCAGACTATCAATATTTCCATCAGCTAAAATAATTGGGCGTTGGAGTTACACAGCAGAAATTCAAAGAACCAGGCTTTTGAAATTCTGTTCTAAAGGAATTAAACATGACTGAGCCATCATGTATGGTCAAAAAAAAAAAACATTAGAAGTTGATGCCTATTATTCCTGGTTATGTCCAGTATTAGAAATGTGATCTGTTACCAACCAAGGTTGCTCTAAAAATCATCGGAGACTATGGGACAATCAGGGATCGAAACTCATGAAGGCTGCTCTGAGGACTGATATCCTAAACACACATTCTTTCCATGGCCCATATATTTCAGTGGGGTTTACTTAAGAACAAGCCTAGTTAGGACTGGAAGAGAGAAAAACAACACACCGTTCTGCTGCTTTCCACAGCTACTCCATCCACCACCATTATTTTCAACCAGGGACCGATTAGCATGCAGAAGGAACAGCTGCTACAAACCATAGTCAAGGAAGGAAAACTGTGTTCTGTCTTGTCCTGAATGCCATAGCTTCCTTGCTTCCTAAAAGCCAACATTAGTTTTCACTCGTCAGTTTCTTCAGAGATAGCTTGCAGTAAATAAGGAGATGCACTTATACTGTAGCCAACGAATGTTAGCTGGCTCCAGCTTTAACCATGTGTAAGCCCTGTGAACATCCAGGCATAATGTATTACTGGAGCCAGACTGATGGGACAGGCACAGCCCTACCCAATCCATCTTGGTCTGATGCAAAGGTAGAAACTGAGGAAGAGAACTGGTCATTTCTGCCTTTTTATTATATTTAACATTTGCATCTCACCCTTCCTCTAAATACACAGCACAGTTGGGAAGGTTATACTAGAAATAACCTGTCCAAGGCCAGATCGCATCCCATTTTCCAAACCCAACGCTCTAGCCACTGCTCCCTACACTGACTTGTATTATTTATTTATTTTATTGCATTTACATCCCACCTTTTTTTCTCCAAAGAGCTTGAGGTGGTGCACATGGTTCTCCCCATTCTCATTTAAGCCCCACAACTCATGTATAAAGTGGCAGGCTACAGCAGCTTTTCACATTTTCGCCCTTCAGGGAATACCTTTCCGAATGGACTGATCTGCTACGGAACCAGTTGTGTTGCATATCCTGAGAGCACTTAAAAGACCTGCCGGGTTTCAACATCACCTTTCATGAACCTTGCAGCACACAACACAACACTTTGCAAGGGAAGACTTGGTGGCAGTCGAGCTGCCTCAGGTAAGATTGTCATTGCTGACCATACACAGGAATGTTTGCTGAGCTTCAAAGTTCCCTCGAAGACAGTTCGAAAGCATCACAATTCACAAGAAGGAATGGGTAGCATAACAGATAATTTGGTTACAGCAGCAAAATTGCCTCAACCCAAATCCTACAGAGACAGAATAGTCTATGTTAGTGAATGCTGATTTCTGAATTCACCGGTTAGAAATATGTATATATCCTTCGACTTACGAATAACAAGATTTTAAAAATCCACTGTTGCAAACAGGGCTGGATTCACCTCCAGGCTGCACTACAACAGCCAGAAAGCAGGCCAACATACACCAGGCAAAATAAATTTCATGCTACCATTATGTGGGAACCCCAGCTTTGAGCAGTACAGTCTTACCTCGGAAGTCGGAAACCTTGTGAGTCGAATGTTTTGGCTCCCAAACGCTGCAAACCCAGAAGTGAGTGTTCCAGTTTGCGAACTTTCTTTGGAACCCAAACGTCCGACATGGGTTCTGTTGGCTGCACCTTGGTTTCCAAACATTTTGGAAGCCGAACGGACTTCCGGAATGGATTCTGTTCGACTTCCAAGGTACGACTGTAGCTCCCTTAGGTGTCTCCCAAAGCAGTGGCTGTAGAAAATGGACCACTGCTGAGGTGGTGAGGGGGCCAAGGAAAGATTGACAAGGTGGTCCAAAAGGTTACATAGACTGGATCTGGCCCACAGGCTGCCAGTTCTCTGGCCCAATATAATGATTAGAACTGATCTCCAACTTCAGAACTGTTTGCATTTGTGGCGATCTTTTACAAAACTGTAAGATTCACTGCTTAGAAATTTTCTAACATTAAGCAGTCTATTTTTTTTCCACGTAAACAAACAATAAATGAATATGGCCACCACAGAAGTTATTTGAGGCTTCATCCCCACAAGTGGTGTATGCCATTTAGCAATAGCGTAGAGCAACTATTTTTAAGGATTCCCTGAGATCATGCAGGGAAAATGCCATCAACTTCAAGGCACAAAGGCATCCAAGGAATCAACTCTACTCTGCTAAGCTTGTCAAGTGGCTACAGAAAGCTATCCGGTTTATTTATACCAAGCACAATACATATTACAGTATTCCTAAAAGCTGCAAACACCCCAAAATATTCATATCTACAAGTCAGTACTTGAAAATTCATCTGTCTAGTTTGGCTGGTTTAGTTTGATCCGCGACATACGTCAGCCAGCGCTGCTCTGCATGGAAATTACACACAAGACATCTGCTAAGATCAGAAGGAATTAAGGTAATCTGAGAATGTCAGTAAATAACATTACCAAAGAATACTTCCATTCCAATTAGAAATTCCTTTTAGGCTTCAATCCCATACACAGTAGGAGTAAGCCCCGTTTAACTCAATGGGTCTTACTTCTGTGCAGGCATTTGTCAGATTATGTTGTTAGAGATGGTAAATGGGAAAAAATTAACTATTTCAATTATTCTGTAGTTTTCATGTACTGCCAAAAAAATTACCCTAAAATGGCTGTGAAACCCTAAGTAGCTGTTTCACATACCACACAACGTAGTACAATAGAAATTTCCATTACCTCTAAAAAATACCAGTCGGATATGTAAGTTAAGGCTACACAGGTGTATTTCCATTATTACAATGTTCAATTCAGCATGTAAGAGGAAACACATGTGAAGCTATTGTAGGAACATGTGCTTCTCTGTAGTTTGGTCCTACAAATAAGTTACTCAGAATTCAGTCTCATTTTTAAATGGAATTTACTCCCTGCTAAGCATTCTTAGAACTACAGTCAACTACAAGCCCATTCTTTCACAGAAGTAAACCTTAGTGAAATATATAGGCTATAGTGCTGAGTAACCTACAGTCACGTTAGGCACTCTTACCTAATTTGGAAGTGGAGGAAGGGGGGGCGCTTTTTAAAAGACGAAAATTCACCACACATATTAAGATTTATTTCTCTGATTGGCATTAAGTAAAAACCAACACAGAACACAACTTAAGTTTCTTGGTTATTGTACTAGGAATAACAAAATAATTCAGAATATAATCAAGAGCACATATTACCAGTATTAGCAGAGAGATTAGATTTTCATCATGGCCACTAACTTTTTTTCAGATCGGAACAGTAAAGATGTTTTTGTACAGTTATAGTAGAGCAGTACGATCATTTTGTGTTAGCAAAGCTACGTATCATGTTCAAAGGGGTAACTCCCTATGCAACTACAATTTTAATGCATATTTTAACATTATGTTCTCCAGATCCAATAACATTACTTTCAAACATCTCTCAAACTAATCAGATTTTTTTAAAAAAATGAAGAAAAAGTCAGCTGCAAATCCACAAGTTGAGAGTGTCAGGGGATTTAAAATGTATTCAGTTAGATAGATATGAATTCTGCAGCTCATCAACCCCCTTTCTGAGAAATTTTAATCAAATCTAGGCTAGACAGAAATGGAAAACAGATATTTCACTGCCATTAGCTGTTCCGGTATTGCAAGGATAAGCTTAGATTTGCTGCTCAGAGGGGGGGGGGAAATCAGTGGCTACAGACTTTGCTGCCACAATATGAAGAAACTGTTGCTGCCAGCCTATTGGAGACAACAAAGGCTACTTGGAATGCAGGGTGTTAATTTCAAGGCAGCATTACACGCCACCTTGACACACTCGTGCACAAACACACGGAAAAACAAAAGCCTTCCAAACCTTGCCCAAGCCCATAAAACACCCCCATACACACCCTGCTTGTTCATGCTCCCATTGCAAACCATGTATGTTCACAGGCATGTGTTCCCATAAACTGGTTTCCTCTGTAGAGACTCCCCAAAGCATAGCCCCAAGAACCCACACCCCTCAACGTCTTCCAGTGTCTCTTCTCGTCCCACCCATCTCACAGCAACATAAGCCAACACAAATAAGCTTAGCATGTGCCTTCTGGATGAACACAGACACAGCACCCTCAACAAGAGCCAAAGCCCCAGGATCCAATCCACCTCCCCATTATCTTCCTCCCTTCCTTCATGCACCCCACTTCACTATCCCCAAACAACCAGATTCAAGATATCCAGTCACTTTAATCCCCAAACACATCCCTCTACTCTACACCCATAAATCCAGCTCTCCCTCCCATGCTTATGAGGCACCCCGTTTCAGGAAACCCCAATTTCTTATCGCATGCCCCACCTCTTCTGCATCTGAGGAGTCTCACAATAGCCAGTATAAACAGAAATGTATTTACAAAACCAGCCTATGTATCAGGTAAGTTAGTACTAAAAACAGCAGTACTGTAAAAACAAACAAAAACCAAAATCTTCACAATGAAATGTTGACCCTTTGGGGAGCAGAGCTTCATAATGGATCACTTACTGAACTCACCCCTACAGAGTAGGGTATGCATGTGTGCAATTGATAAGGCATTGTGAATATATACGATATGGTACATAGATGTAACAGATACTTAATGCATATATGTGTGTGTGTGTGTATATATCTCCATAACCTACATGTCAGTGCATAAACATTTTAAGACGCCTATGTTAATACATCAAATGTAACAAATACTTACTAGTCAGTTCAGTTTAGCACACAGAAACAAAGCAAAACAGGTTAAAAGACGCAGAAAGGAAGCAAAACTGGGAAGATTTAAAATGCCATAGCGAAACACACACTAAAAAAGAAAAAAAAAGGCACCCCAGGTAATATTTACAATGCCCAACTTAACCCAGCAACAAGCCCATCCATCCATCTGTATTGCCAAACCAGCTAAAAATGCCACATGGGGAAGAGGCAGAGGAAGCAGCGCCAGTTGGGGGTGGGGAGCAAAGATGCATTTCACGTCTCCGAGGCGCTTCCCCCCACCCCCAAGATACCCGCTTTGCAGACCCCGCCTCAGGCGACCCCGAGCCCTGGCCGACCCCCCTCACCCAACAACAACACCCCCCAATTCTTCCTCCTCCTCCTCCTCAGCCCCCCGCCCCACACCCGCCTGCCTCGATACACCCGCTTCGGGGACGCACACGCCCCCCACCCAGCAGCCACGCTTGCTCTTTCCCCACCTCCCTCCAGCCTGCGGCGGGGGCTGAGGGAGGGTCGGCCGCCCCTTCCCACCGCCGCCACCTGAGGCCCAGGTCCGGCCCACCTCCCCTCCATAAAAAAAACAACAACCCCCCACCTGCTGCTGCTGCTGCTGCTGCTGCTTCTCTCGCAGGGCCCAAGTGGCTCCTCCGGACTGGAGCGCCGCCAGGAGCAGCAACAGCAGCAGCAGGAGGAGCAGGAGCAGGAGGAGGAGCGTCGTGGTCGCCGCCGCCGCCGCCGCCGCCGCCGCCTCTCGGACTGGGTTTGACACCCGCCGCCCACACGCGCCATCCAACATGGCGGAGGGAGGGAGGCACGGAGAGGGACGGGGAGAGCGAGACAGGCAACGCGCGCTCCCGCGCGGGCGGGCGAGCGAGCGCGCCGTCCCGCCACAGAGAGAAACAAGTGGGCGGGGGGGGGGGGGTCTTCTCCTGTCTGTGTGTGAGCGCGCGCCCGCGTTCTCGCCCATGGTTGTTTTCCCTTCCTCACAAGTGATAATGTGAGGATGGATTTATTTTTTTCTCCCTCTCAGGAATTTTATCCACCCGCATCTGTTTTTCTTTGGAAAGGGTTAGGGTGGGAGGTCGTAGGAAATGGGAGCCCTAAAAAAAGGAAAAGGAAACCATCTATGTGGGGGCGAGTGTTTTGTGTCTGTGTGTAAATAAATAAGATCACGCCCTCTTTTATTTGGCTTGCTCTTCTTCTTCTTCTTCTGAGGCGGGAAGTCTGTGGCTGGGTATAAAAAAAGACCCCCGCTTTTTGGAGGGGGAAATGTTGAGGGGGCGTCTATGGGAGTAAGGCTCGCGCGCCCCCTTTGGGGGTGCAAGCACATATTTGTATACAAGAAATAAATGGCTTTTTTGAGGGGGCGAGTCTAAATATAAAGACTAACCTTCCCCTTCCTTAGGGGGGTGAGCGAAAATATGTATATATACATACAAATAAATAAATAAATAAGATGACTCCTTTTCTTTGCGGTGGGGACAATCTATGTCTGTGCATAGATAAAAACCCACCTAGCCCCTTTTGGTGGGGAAAATATAATGGAAGTGTATGGTATGTGTATATATAAATAAGGCTTGTTCTCTTTTTTAAAAAATTGTCTATATATACAAATTTTTGAAAGGGGGGTCTTTTTTGTGTGTTGGGGGAAATGTTGAAGGGAAGTGTGTGTATATAAAAATGAGGCACTCACACATCTCTTTTTTAGTGGTGAAATAAACATAAGACCTGCCCCCTCTCAGGTTTTGTTTTGTGTTTTGTTTTTGTTTGTTTGTGGAATTGCATCAGGAAAATATTACCCAGGGGGTGAAACATCTCTCCCAAATATATATATATATATATATATATATATATATATATATACATACACACACACACACACACACACACACATATATATATGGGGGGGGTAAACATAAACACATAAATAAAACTTATTGCCCAGATGTTTTGTGACGAAAGGGTGTCCCCTCAGTTATCAAATTTCCCGCCATTTTCTAAGGGACGTTTTAACGTCCTTGTCTGAGGAAAAATTGAAGGACTGAAGGAATTAGGGAAAGCAGAAGCAAGAAAATAATACCGTATTTTTCGCCCCATAGGGTGCACCGGCCCATAGGACGCACCTAGTTTTTTGGGGGGGGGAAATAAAGGAAAAAAAAATATTTCCCCCGCAGGCGCGGGGCTGGGGCGGGGGAAGCCCGAGCTTCCCCAGTCCCCAGAACAGGCATCACTCCGCAAGCCTTGGGAGCCTGGCGCGACTTCCCGCCGGGCTCCCACGCCTTGCGTATATCTGCCTGAAGCCCAAACCAGGTCGGGGAACAGCAAGATGGCGGCGCTGCGCCTCCCCGCTGTCCCCCGAGCTTGTGGGGCTGGCGGCGGGGAGAAGCACACTTCTCCCCACCGCCAGCCTCCAAACCAGGTCAGGGAACCGAAGCCCGGAGCGCGCTGTGCAGTGCGCCCCAGGCTTCGAGATGCAGGCTGCTATCTGCAAGCCTAGGGAGCCCGACGGGAACTCCCGCGGGCTCCCAAGGCTTGCGGAGAGCTTCCTGAAGCCTGGAGAGCGAGAGGGGTCGGTGCGCACCAATGCCTCTCACTCTCCAGGCTTCAGCGAAAGCCTGCATTCGCCCCATAGGACGCACACACATTTCCCCTTCATTTTTGGAGGGGAAAAAGTGCGTCCCATAGGGCGAAAAATACGGTGATTCTTTTTTTCTTGAGAATAAGAGTCAGGTTCACTGAACTCAATAGTACCTACTTCTCAGTAGGCTTGCCAGTATTGCTCACACTGCTGATGTTATCGTGAGAGAATTGTCCAAAGACCATGGCAGCATCAACGCCATACATTTCGAGATCATTTTCCCTGCCAGAACCCCAGGAACCGTAGTTTCTTCCCTCACAGAACTACCCTTCCCAGCACCCTTAACAAACTACAGTTCCCACGAAGCTTTGAGGGGGCAGATGTGGTGCAGATGTGGCCAGATGCAAAAGAGAACGGGGCTCTTGCACCTTTTAATCGTCGAATCGGGAATTTTAGAAAGTGCAGCACCTACTCCAGATTCCACATGCACAACCATTGAAGGTGCTGGAGCCCCGTCCAGGCCTTTTTGCATCTGGCCCAGTGCCGGATTTATGTATAAGCTAAACAAGCGATAGCTTAGGACCGCACTCTCTTGGGGGCCTCCCAAAAAATGAAAGGGGAAAAAACACCTGGATGTACATTTCCAAAATATAAGATATAAAACAAATAAAATAAAACCTACATACAGCAACAGTGTTTTGTGTTGTGTAGGCTCCTATGATGTAAGTTATGGGCCCTGCCTGCTCCCTAAAATATCACTGGTTTGCTCCTTTCTATATATAGGGTGCCTACATTCTGCACGGACTGGTTGCGTGGCAACATGTGCAAATGGCTTTAGATACCTATTAGGTCCATCAATTACCATATAGCATATATTCAACACAAAAAACAGCGACAATTTGTTGTTGACAAAGAACAGCTGGACATAGAAAGGGCCCCATTACTTTCAGTAGCTTAGGGCCTCATCAAACCTCAGTCCAGCTCTGATCTGGCTGCCCTACCACAGGCTGACTTCCCTGTTCTCTTGGAAAGAGAGCTGGAAAATACAGGTCTCCTTGTTCCCCCGCACAACATAACAGATGACTCAGTTGCTGGAAGTCACAAAACCCCTCTCCGCTTGAGAACAGAATGGGAACCAGGCTCCCTCTTGCTTGTTGTGGGAGCCGAGCTAATCCTCCTTCCAAGAACACACATCTAAGGCCACAAAAAAGGGCACGGAAAGTAAATTAACTATGGGAGGGAAAGCTGAGGGGGAAGTTATGGGAACACAGGAGAAGACAAGGAGAACATGAGGTGCTAACGCATGCCTCTCCCCCCCCCCCCGGTTGATTTGTAAGAGATTGCTCTCCCAACGCTCAAGGCTGAAAAATATCCCCTAAAAACCAGGGCTTAACACACGTCCAAGTTATTCCCCGCCAAGTACAGTGGGGTCTAGTGGTTAGCTACAGGGGTCAGGAGCCTAGGCGTTGCTGGGTTCCCATTTCCCAGCAGCCCCACAAAATATGGGCAATGGGAGCTGTGGTCCAACGGTATCTGGAAGTGCAACGTGGGTCACAACAACATCTTAGCATTTAAAGCACTCCTATACTGCTTTAAGCATCATGGCTTCCCCCAAAGAATCCTGAGAACTGCAGCTTGTGAAGGATGCCAAGCTAGGAGACCTTTCGCGGAGCTACAATTCCTTGCACCCATAAGAAGCTACAGTTCCCAGGATTCTTTGGGAGGGAGCCATGACCATTGAAGTGACATAAGAGTGCTTTTAATATGTGGTGCGGGTGTGACCGTGGTCTGTCCTCTCTCTCTCACACACACAGAAGCAGAAACCCTATCCAGATCTTAACGTTCCCTCAAGCTTTCCACTCCGTTCTGCGTTGAGTCAACCAGCTAATTTTAGAGGCATTTTTGGAAGTTTCTCCTTCCTGTGACGAAGGATTTTCCTGGGTTGTTTTAAAAAGTGGCCCGTATTTTGATCGTTCAACCTCATCCCAGCCTCAGGAATGACTAAGAGCCAAACCACCATTGCACAGCTCTCACTTCCATCCTTGTCGCTATCACTTCCTTCTCCCACCCCATGGAGTGCAACTAAACTGCATCCGCCCACTTCCGCAGGCAAAAATCCTTTTCTTCCTCGCCCCCCACCCCACCCCAAGTCAAAACCTCAAAATCTTATTTATTCCCATGAATAAATCAGAGAGGCAGGGAAAATCTTGCTTCTGAAAACCACTTGAGGGTGGAGGGAAATGTTATCCAGTGGTCGCTAATAGTCGGATCTGAGTCCCAAGGAAAGGTTTAGCAGCGGTGTGAAAATGCGACTATAAGCTTTACACCAGGGGTGAGGAAGATGTGGCCTTCCTGATATTGTTAGACTACAACTCCCATCATCCCTGACCATTGGTCACGCTGGATGTGGTTGGTGGGAGGACAACAACATCTGGAGGGCATCTGGTTCCCTGTCCCTGATTTGAACAGTTGGTTTTTAATGGCCTGCATTCCTAGGATGTAGTGAAGGGAGACCGAGGCACTGCTTTTTAAAAGAAAGAGAGAAAGAGAGAAAGAAAGAAAGGAAGGAAGGAAGGAAGGAAGGAAGGAAGGAAGGAAGGAAGGAAGGAAGGACCACAGAGGCCCCTGAATCTTAAGTATGAGGGAACAGGCTGCAGTTGTTTTGTGTGGAGGGAAACACACCCTCTGTATGCTCAGATATAACTTATTGATCTATTCCTGCGTCATATATCTGTTCCTTTCAAGAAACGGCACGGCCAGACCCAGGGACTGTTGCAAAATGGTTGCTTATTTATTAGGCGGGGAGGGGGGGTCTGGTACTTTCCATATGTTGCTGGACTCCAGCTCCCATCAACCCTGGCCAGCATGGCCAAGGATGATGGGAGCTGTGGTTTAAGAACATCTGACAGGTCACAGGTTGGCCAGCCCTGTGTCTGAGTACTTATACCGGCCCCTGCAGCAGCTTCAAGGCAGCTGAGAAAACAAAAAATACAGTAAGATGCAAACATTGAACATACACATCCCACACCCGAATAAGCATATATTAAGGGGAAGAGTGCACCAAAGAATGTACATATCAATGAACAAAATATACAAAAATGCATTATATTGGGGGGAAATAATTGGAAAAAAATGTGTCTATTACTCAAAACTGTATACAAAAAATGGGTGCATTAGGATAAATGCACCCACAAATGTGTATGACTTTTCATGTGATAAACCACTCTGCAAAATGTAGCTCTGGGGTGAGAATAGGGGTCTCTTAGAATTATTGGGGGAGCCACAGCTCTTTAAAATGCTTTAAATGGATGTCATGTATGTGGCCTAATTCTGGTTTTGTCCCCATCATCCTCCCTGCTGTGTTCTACAAGGGCAAGACTGAGAGGAGGAAGCTGATAGGCAGTCGTCCTGAGGCTCGGGGAAGGCAGACGAAGGCCACACACACTTCGCTTCAGGCAGCAAATTGCCTTGGGCTGGCCCTTATCCCACATGCTCAATTGCCTCCTGGCTTCACAAACCCACCTCATCCTGCAGATGTCATGGCGAGATAGTTGCCCATGGACAGACATCCAAGTTACAAAGATCCCAGCATTTGGATATAACCAGGAATAGCCGTGCTTCGCTGCATATAATGTGGGAATTCACCCAAGTGAGGAAGCTCTTGCCAATGCCTCACATAAAGACAGCCTGTCACTCTTGGTCAGTTACCAATATTACCTTAACCTCTGAGAACAATGGTCAAATATTGACAGAGAGTACAAGCTGCCTAATGGTGTCTTTGGCACTCCCCATCAAACTACCCGGTCAAAGCAACTCTCTCTCTCCCTCTGCAAGAGAGAAATAAGAGATATCAATATTCTGCAGGGGGAAGGCCATTAACAGCCCTGTCTGGAATGCATGACTTGACTTCTGTTTGTGCGAAGGATTCTCATACATGACTACAATCCTCAGGAATTCTGAAATGGCATCCCAGGAACAAAGCCATAATCATAAATACTCGAGGGCCCAACCCGGTTTCTCTCTGATTTGAATAGCAACGTCAGCATGCAACTGGATTGTGCTCTAAAGGCTCCAGGCAGTAAGATTCGTGAAATCTAACTTTCAAACCGACAAGGCTGGCCATGCAGTTAGCTTTCAAGTTTCGCAGAGTTCTTCGTCGGGTTAAATGGAGGTTTTCAAGGACTGGTTTGCTTGTGGAGGAATTTAGCAATTGTACAGGGGAGCCAAGTCCCAGACGTATAGCCACCAAATCATACCGTGGGTGGGTTGGATATGCTTTGATTCTAATACATTTGCATTGTCTCTAAAGGTGTTGTGTAATGCACAGCTTCCAGTTTTTCGTGGTGCTGAAATTTATTTGGACCTGTTCGTAGCAGCCAGTCAGAGGAGCATCTTGGCTTTCAAAGCAGTTCAGGCTTTGTAAAGCAAATAAGCACGGATGACAGAACAGAGGCTTCTGCCACAGGCTGATGGTGCCAGGTATTGGCCAGTGATCTTTGGCATAAGAATGCGAGTATTGATTTGATCGAGCTATCAAAGCCTATACAAATTGACCAAAGAATTATAACAGTCCTGCGTGATCCATCCATTGGCCCCCTCTGGAAAAGCTTTGCTTTTAAAAACACCAACAGATGTTAGTGCCTATGGGGAGGGGGGAATCCACTTTCCCTTTTATGCACTATTAGCAACATTTGGTCACCCGTGCATTTGGTCCCATCTGAGGCAGATACCACAACACTAATCCTTCTTCCAGTTAATCCCCCATTTTAACCCACATCTTTAAGCTTTCCCCCCTTTTCTTTCTTCTTTTAAAATTCTCGTCTGAAGTGTGCTAAGTGTTTTCTTCCCAGGAAAAACTCTGCTCGATTTGAGAACGATCATATTGTTATAGGTTGGGGGGGGGAACCCCCCAAACCCTAGAAATTAATAAATGGTAGGATTTTGATTATTTGGGATGTGAAGGGAGAAATGCCAGCTGCAGAGGAATTCTGGGCTCACTTGTGCAAAGGGACCTGGCCAAGCTAGGGCCATTAAGAAACAATACAGGGCCACTGAGGGCCATTAGCAAAGCAAGAGAACTGTCCTCCTTCCCTTTGCCCTGAAGTGTCAACAGAGAGTTGGGGTTTGGAAGGTTGGCAGGGTAACTGGGTGTAAGATGACAAGAAAATAGTTTTTAGCAAGGTGCTCCAGGAAGGAGAAGGGGGAAGAAAGACTGGAATCCATCTTGGGCAGGCTGGCTGAAGGCTGGCTGCGTTGCTGTGAGGGACAAGCCCATCTTGAAATGACCATGCCATAAGATCTGGACCATGCAGACTGAAGGTGTAAACAGGTAAATAAACCATACTTCTTAAATCTATGACAGTCTCCACTGTGTCTCAATCATCCAAGGAACGCAGACCCTGGGTGAGTGCCTGGAACCCCCAGGAATCTTGCAGAGAGTTGGGGGTAGCACACATTTTTTGTAATAATATGTTAGGCATCAAGGATAAGGTGGCAGGCAATTAGAAGAGGCAGTTTGTTAGACTGGTGTTCCATCATCAAAGATAATCTAACTTGCTATCAAGCCCAGGCCGGACCCAGACTCCTTGGAGGATGAATCAAATGAAAGCTCCCCTTGACCAAAGTCTTGGGGGAACAGGCAGGGTCCCCATCGCTAACCCTGAAAACCTCTAGGGAGTGCCACCCCAGGGCCACTTCCAGAAGATCTTTTCAGTGGACCCTTGGTGTGGGTTCCAACACAAGTGTCAGCAGATGAGCCCCTGGTGGAGTCAGAGACACAGTCATGTCCCTTCCCCTAAAGGCCTAAGCCCAGGCCATAGCCCACAGCAAAGTATAAGCCTGAGAGCCCCAAGGCTAGCAGATTAGACATGGCTTGGGAATCTAGGCTCTTAGTTGCTCCTCCTAGTTGTTGGAATGACCTATGTCCCTAGTTCCTTGTCTAGTTTGAGTGCTCATCTGTTGCTGACTTGCTTCCCGTGGGTCATGCTTTGGAGTCCGACTGTTTACTCATGCTTGATCCTGGTTTATCTTTGCATGCTAGACTTATCTTGCTGTTGTTTGGCAATCTCATGTGTGGGTTCCTTAGTCTCCTTAGACTTAAGAACATAAGCAGAACCAGCTTGACCAGCCTAATGTCCTTTCTAATCCAGCAGCTGGTTACTCATGCAGTGGAAAGAAAACTAGAGCACCCACTCATCCCCCACTTCAAGATTAGAAGAGGAAGAAGAAGAGTTTGGATTTGATATCCCACCTTTCACTCCCTTTAAGGAGTCTCAAAGCGGCTAACATTCTCCTTTCCCTTCCTCCCCCACAGCAAACACTCTGTGAGGTGAGTGAGGCTGAGAGACTTCAAAGAAGTGTGACTGGCCCAAGGTCACCCAGCAGCTGCATGTGGAGGAGCGGAGACGCGAACCTGGTTCCCCAGATTACGAGACTACCGCTCTTAACCACTACACCACACTGGCTCTCCCCCAGAAGTCAAAAACAGACAGGGAACAGAATGTGTTGCCTAGATAAAAATATAAAATAAAGCCTGCTGGATCAGTCCAGTGGCCTGTCCAGTCCAACATCCAGTTCTCAAAGTGACCAACAAGCAGAACCTCAGTTGCCATATTCAGAAAGAGAAGCTTTTTCTTTTCTTTTCTTTTCTTTTTGCAAAATTGCAAAGAAAATATGTTTTTGAGGCAACCCTACCGGAGCAGTCCCTCTCCCCTCTTGTGATTCCTAGTAACTAGTATTCATGTTGTCTGACAGTGGAGGAAGAACCTAGAACATGGGTAGGCAGGCTAAGGCTAGGGGGCCGGATCTGGCCCAATCGCCTTCTAAATCCGGCCCGCAGACGGTCTGGGAATCAGCGTGTTTTTACATGAGTAGAATATGTGCTTTTATTTAAAATGCATCTCTGAGTTATTTGTGGGGCATAGGAATTCGTTCATCCCCCCCAAATATAGTCTGGCCCCCCACAAGGTCTGAGGGACAGTGAACCGGCCCCCTGCTGAACAAGATTGCTGATCGCTAACCTAGTAGGCATTGCTAGCCTTATCGTCTGTGAATTTGTCTGTCTCTTTTGTCTAAACCATCCAAATTGCTGGCCATTGGTGGCCTCATGTGGAAGCAAGTTCCATAGTTCATCTATGCACTCTACGGAAAAAGTGTTTTACTTTCTTGTATTTTCTCTAGAGTCTTGATGCATAGCCAAAGACTACACCTGTGGGCATATTACACATTCCAGTACTGGGGGGGACAAATGCATGAGAGTGAAGGGAGGTGTCGGAATCAAGTGTAGGAGCCAAGAAGTAAGTGGTGTTTTTAAATTAAAAAATAAATAAATAGAGTTTTGCGATTCCCTAAATCTACCAGCGATGGCCTTTTTCATCCCACAAAGGAAAAACAGGCCAATACCCATGCAAAATAATAAAAAGACACAAATCCGACAGTAGAAACAACAATAATGTGGGTAACATTTCAATTCCCCCAGGAAACAATTGTAAATTACCTTAAAGTGGCAGTCCTGGAGGAACTTCAAAGGGAGATTGCAACATCAAACCGCTGAACTGCAATTCATCAGTGCTATCACTGGTGGACTGAACTGATTTTTAGCTCATTATATGTGTTCATTGGCTTACCAATGCCAGGATGTCTGTGTCACATCCTGGCACTGGTAAATAGGAACCCTATAAAAGGGAAGGACGGAAGGATCCAGCCTTTGCTCAATTATCTTCCTCACTCCCTGACTTCCTCTGTGTTGGTCTGCCACAAACAAACTTGAAAGTCTTGTTATCGCCTTAATCACTCACTGGACTATGGAAGGTCCATCAGTTTCCCTGGTAGATGACGTTGTTCCTATTCTGAGAAGAAAGTCCAGAACTGGGCATCTTCCTCCACTGAGTCACTGCTAGCAGACCTTTACAAGTGTGGTTGGGTCTGAATTTCGTCAGACCAGACATCAGTACCAGGAAATTTGGGTGGCAGGACAGAGGGGCCAAGAGATAAAGCTTAATTAGTCTCTTTCGAATATTCAGATATTAGCAGCTTTCCCTGCTATCTAGGGCTAAAGAATGCAGTTGGAGGTCTGTGCTAGGGGGTGAAATTGTTAGCTTCTTTCCCACTCCTCCAAATGAACCCACCAGCTTAACAGCAGCTAATAAGCTATGAAACTGCAATGCTTTTTTAATGAGCTGATCCTCCGACCATATGCCAGACGTGCCTGTAAAGCTGTAAAAACAAAGCAAAACAAAATATCAAAGTGAGTTTGTGAAATATTTTATATAAGAAATGCAGGCACGCATGGCCCCGTGCGTTGGAAATTCATGGCCCTTGTTTTATTGATGTGTTATTGTTTCTGTTGCTTCTTAGCCAGAGCAGCCTTGGCATGGGCAGATCACATTTTCTGCCGCCCTCCCGTCTCCCTCTCGGTCCCAGCTAAATCTTGTTAGGCTGAAGCCTGGCTCTGGCTGCATGCAATTCAATCTCCAAATCACAGCGGGTTTGCTCTATTAGATGTCCTCCCCCCGCCCCCCGCTGCCAGTCACACAAGCCCCATTGCCAAGTTTTCAGAGTGATTAAATAAATCAATAGGAGAACAAAGGCCAGGGTTATCTCTCCACTCACTTGCAAAATCTGTATTTCAAAATTCATATTTATGGCTCAGTCTCCATGCGCTCCTTTATGTGCAGCAGAATGCAAAACTCAACAGTTAGGTTGCGATGTAACCGAGGGTAGAGTTGCCAGACCCCCAAGACTCCTGGTTTGCTCCCCCCCCCCAAGTGGCAAGTGGGGACTTGAATCTCCAGGGACGAGTGCCCTTAATTTTAAAAAGATATATTAAGAAAACTGTGCATGCAACTTGCAAGCTTCATCCAGCAGCAGCAGCTGGCTGCAGTTTATAGCAGAGACACTCTGCATAGCTGTCAACATTTCCTTTTTTTTAAGGGAAATTCCCTTATTCCGAATAGGATTCCTCACAAGAAAAGGGAAAAGTTGACAGCTATGCACTCTGGGGAGGGGAGTGTCTGTTCTTTCTTTCTTACAGTTCTTTCTATCTCTAAACTGGACAGTCCTTCACAAATAGAGTAGAGTAGTACAGATGGCCTTCCAATGGATCTCTCTCTCTCTCTCTCTCTCTCTCTCTCTCTCTCTCTCTCTCTCTCTCCTTTCTCTGTATAACCTACTCGCAAGATTGTTGTGAAGTTAACACACTGCTCTGATTCCCGGGAAGGCAGAGAGAGATACTATCCTGCCTTGCCAGTTTAGCCAGTTTGTTCAGATGTAAGCAAAGAGTCTCACCTCAAGACACAATATAGCCTCATGCGCAAAGCGTCGTCTCTGATAAGAGCAAAGATAACTGCGGCATTTCACAGAGAAAGAGAGAGTTACACAAAACTCACTGGATTAGGAGGGAGAAAGGAAGGGTAGTCACATAGCATTGCCCCAAAGAGCAATAAATCAGCTCACCCCTCTTGCCAAAGAAAGGGCAAAAGAGGGCAGCAATTTGCAGAAAATTTCCCCATGCTATTGTATTCGTATAGATGAAAATTTTAGAAATAGTTACTGTCAGGGCTGCCTCAGGTCTCAGCTCACAAAAGACCAACGCCAATCTCTTCTTATATACAAAAGTGTTTATTGGAGTTCATTGTTTGCTTCACATCCGAGGCGCGCAGCCCCACGTCTGTTACGCTTAGACCGTTGGAGTCCCCTCTGAGTCAGTCCCTCCCCTGCACCAGTTTAAGAGGCTTGCGCTGCTCCACCTCTTCCTCTCTTTCCTTTTCCGCAGGGTCTTCCTGCCCGCTGGGGTTTCGCCCCTCCTGGATTCCCCTGACGCGGAATCCCCAGACTGCTCTTCCCCCCTCCTGCGGGCTTTGGGACCTGGCTCCTCCTCCGGGCTCCCTGTACTTCCGCGCGCCTCTACATTTGAACTTGGCGCGCGCGCCCAACCTCTAACCTTCCTTTTGACAGTTACACTACTCCCTTCACTACTCCCCTCCCCTTCCGGGAGGGTGGCTTCCTCCGACCTCCCTCCCTTCTCTGCTGCCGGAGCTGCTTCCCCTGATACACTGGAACCTCCACCCCCTTCGCTGCACTCTGGCGGGGAGGCTGGTCCTGACGCCCAGCTGCCACTTTGGGATCCCCCGCTGGCCCCCTGCTCCTGACACGTCCCCCTGGGGCTCCCTGGCCTTGACCACCGGCGCCCCCTTCTGGGAATCCTCTGATTCGCTGGAAAGACTCATGGAATCTCTTGAGTCATTGTCATCCTCTTCCTCGCTGGCTTGGAATTCCTCCCCATCGCTCTCCATCTCCTGCCTACCCTGTGCCTCTGTCCCTGAACCCCTGACAGTTACTATTGTCTAAATAAACATACATTCACAATTTGGGGCGGGGGGAGAGACTTCAACCAGGTGATGGCTGAGCCTGTTCTCTGGGTATTGTTGATGGGCAACTTCCAGGTCTTATAATGTTCTCCCTTCTTTATCTTTTGGACTTGAAAGCTAAAAGACAGTTCTTTATCCTTAACCTGGATTTAGATTGGACTAACCTGCCTGACCAAAGGCCTCACCCAAATTAGGGGACTGCCCCTATAAAGGAGGACCCTAGAGAAATTGGGTTGGTCTCCTGCTCTCTACATCATAGGAAAATTGATCTCCTCTCACCTTGGCTGTCCTGGTGATGACTGCTAATGATGAAGGCTGATCATCTCTCTGGCAGGCAGGAGAACGGGGGAAATGTCCTGGATATAGATCTGAGTTGTGAGGGGGCAGAGGAGAACAGGAGCATAGCATGACAAATGGAACAGCCTAATGGACAAATCAATAGAGGCTGGGCAGCCAACCATTCTCCTGGGCTTGTCCCCTCCTAATGTTCTTCCATTCTTCATTTTAATCAAGGAAGCAGACACCTCCCTAGCCCACCAGAAAGAGGTGTCCTGGTCATCTGAATCTCTCACAGGGAAGTGGGAGTCCTTGCCTGACCCATTCACCCACCACCCCACATACGGTCTCTTGGAATAAATTTGGGGAGCTGTAAACAGGGTTGGGGAACCACAGGCCCACTGGTCAAATGCAGCAACCTTCCAAACCTTTCAATCCAGCCCTCAGGCTTCGTCCAGACCACACCTCCTCCTTAGCCACAGCCATTTCCTGCTTGCTTGACAACCTTTGTGGGTGTTTTGTTTTGTTTGTTTGTTTTTGGCCTGGCTGGAATGTGCCCTTGAAGTCTGATAATGCCTCTTGCATGCTTGGACAGAGGATAGAGGGAATGTGAGGGTCAGTAATCACACAGTTCAAAGATGGAGCTAACTCTTTATTGGGGAAAACACAACCTTCACAGGCTTGGCTGAGTGTCGGGTCTAATGAGCAGAGCAGCTTATTCCTGGTGGACCGCCTCCATGAAAACCAGTTGCCAGGACTGAAAGTCCCGGCCTCCTCACAGCCGTCTGAGTCCCCTCCTCTCCAGGGCTTTCCCCAAGCAATCAGAGACTATGTCTGTGTGCAGCCAACCTCTCCTCTGCCCTTTTCATGCCTCTTCTGGTTCTGAGAGACAAGGGGGAGGAGGGGAGATTGTCGCAGCAGGAGGGGAGACAGCCATGCCTCTTTACCAGCTGGACTCATCTCTGCCTCTTCAGAGTCTGACTCTGGACTTCTCTCTGCCACAGACTCTCCCTGTTACCCCTTCAGCTTCCAGTACCTCCTCTTCCTAGTGTTGTCCCTCTGACCACTCATCATCATCCCACCACCCATCAGCAGGCTCTGAAGATTGGTGGGGAGGAGGTGTCAGAAAATGAAGGAGCAACAGGGTTTAGTGAGCAGGAAGAGCCTGTGAAAGGGAGCGGTTCAGACTCCGAGGCTGAAGCAGAGGAGGTGGTCAAGAGGCTGCTGAAGAACCCAGGGAGTCTCCCTCTCCTGCTGTGACAAGTTCCCCTCCTCACTGGTCTCCAAGAATGCACAGAATGAGAAGAGCAGAACAGAGGTCAAAGGTGGACAGTTGCAGTTTGACTGCTTGGATAACATCTTGGAGGGGAGGGGCCTTAAGGTTGGTAGAAGGCTGGGATGTTCAGTCCTGGCAACTGCTCTAGACCTACTGGGAAGGGTTGCTGAGACCACTAGGCTGAGTTGTATTTTGTTTTCTTAAACAAAGAGCTAACTTCCCTGGCATTGGAGAATTGCTTCCTTTCTTGCTGACCTGTGTCTGACTCCAACCCTGAAAAGCTTATTCCCAGATTATTCCCACCCCGAAAAACGAAAACAGAGCAGGAATTTGCTTGGACGAGGAGGGTTAATTTTGGGAGCACTTGCCTCTCCTTCT